GATGATGATGACGATGTTGATGACGATGACAGATTATAATCTTGATCTGAAAAGATGCTATGACCACCGATTCCTTGATCACCGAGAAACATTCTCTTCCAAATTGCTTTACGATACCAAGCTTTAGGGAAAGCAAGGGTTTCCGTGAGACGACGCATATCATATTTAAAAGAAGCCGAACCAATGTCACAAAGAGCAGAAAATCGAATCATCACCGTTTGGTTAAACTTTTCTTGTGCAGAGTGGGATGATCTAGTGACTGGTGGAGATGTTTCCAGACTTAGAACAAGTCGTCGACTTCTAGATATGTTAATTTTAACAAATTCAACTTGCAAGCTGAGGGCATCTTTACGATCTGAATTGGATTTGGGCAACGGTGATGAAGTTGTTGATGATGCTTCAGAGACCATTGATGATCCAGGAGCTTTCTTTTGACCACCATAAGGATGAAAAATGTACAAGGAAAAGTCAGCAAGACAACCTGTCATGCTAAGTCCACCAATTGATGTTTCTGTTTGATGTTGAGGGTGACGGAAATCAGAAGCCGATCTTTTATGGCCATATTTAATATTGCCTGCCCTTGAAGGTCCACACGATGATGAAAAAGGCATATTTTTACCCAATGGTTGTTGAGGTAAACTCATATCAAGTTCATCTTGTAATCTTTTAGATGAAAAGACTAGGTCTACAGAAGGAAGTTGGAGAAGACATTCAACACGAGAAACTGGAAGACAACTAAATCTGAGCACGGAAGGTTGCATGTGAAGGTAAACAATAACATCTACTGGGAAAGAACCATAAACGGCATATTGAGCAGGAGCCGATGTAATTAAATCTGGTCGTGAAAAATCATCAGGATTTAGTTGATGACCATCTGAGGCTGGTGAAGATGTTTTACCGGATGAAGGAGGTTGAATTGGAATAGGTTCAAGAGCTTGTTCCATGAAATCAAGAATATGAGGTGATATTATGGTCTCTTCTGGGATACTGTGAAGAGTCATCCAAGCATAACACGAGGCTTTTTTAGAGCCACTTCGTTTAGCGGGATTAGGTGCAAAGCTAATGTTTGCTTGTGGTGTTTCAGAGTCTCGAGATTCTGGTACAGATTTCAGATTTCCAGGTCCAAATGTTGACAGTTGCTGTTGTCCTGGCGTTGACCCAAAGACTGTTTTTGAGTTATAATGCACTTTAATATCTAAACCTGGAATTAAAAAGATTGAATAATCCATTTGACTGGTACTTGTACCAGCAGTGGTTGGATATCTTAATCGATTTGAAGAAAGATTTGCCTTCAATCCAGCTCCAGAATTTCCATGTTTATTGTTTGACAAAGAAGATCGTAGAGCACTTTGTCGAGGAATGTGACCCAATGGGGACGACAATCCATCAGGATTTCCCGTGAAACTTCGCTCCTTGGGTAAACCATTTTTACGAGAATATTCATCATCTTTGACAGATTCTCGAGTGTGAAAAACACATTTACCACTGTTGAAAAATACTTTAATATCCAATTCAAAATCAATGTAAGGTTCTTGAATTTGATAGCTCGTTGGTTTGACTTGAATATTTGGGATACTCCGAACGTCTGGAACAAAGCTTGTCTCTTTACTCCCAGTTGGTTGCGTGTTTCTAATTGAAGATGTAAAATTAAAGATTAAATTGTGAACATGTAAAATGGCACAACAAAAGAAATGGATTAAAGCAAAACATTTAAACTAACAAGTGATTAAGTAATTGTAATTTTAAATAATAAATAACAAGTCACAAGTGACTAGCAATTATTGAGAAAGACAAAGAAAATGAGAGACGAAATAAACATACTTATTAATACGCTTAAGCAGAGATGAATGATCATCAGAATTGTCACAGTTATTTTTATTGACGCGAGAAGCATTAGTAGACACATTTGAAGATGTTGTTAACGATCCAGTGTAATCAATCTTACTTGAACCACTGGTTGATGAGAAAGTGTTGTTACATGAATCAGAATAGGTATTCAAATGATCAGATGAAATGCTATTTGTAGTCTGTTGGCTACTTGAATAGCTACGGGAAATTGCGGAAAGTGAGGTTGATTTTGATGAATCTTGCGGTGTTGTACCCAAAGACTGAGCTTTGGGAGAATTAGATTGTGATGCGAAATGGACTTTATCATCAAGTGACGAAGTAGTAAAAAGCGGGCTGAAAATGAGAGAGAGAGAAAGAGAAATTGGAAAATAGAAAGCAACAATTAGGGGATCAGCAATTACAATTTGGATTTGAGACAGATATAGATGTGACAATGAAAAGCATCTTAAGATAATTAAGAAAAAAGCTTGGCAAAGGCAACAATTAGACGTTCAATTTGAATTAATTATATGTTAAACTTACTCGTCTCCAGCTTGATCAGCAGTATTTAAATCCATAGAGATGCTTCTAGCTGCAAAATCACCATTGTTGTGATTTTCAAATTGTCTTAATTTATCGATTGAATTGTTTCCTTCACTTTCAGATGTAGTAAGACCTGTTGTAGGTTCAGGGTCCGAATTGAGACAAGTTTCCGTTATCGAAGGAGTCATTTTACTATCCACCAAACTCAATTTGTCTCTAAAAGATGATCTTTTGACGGATTGACGTCTCAATTTTTTGATTACATCTATTTTAAAGTCATTGAAAACAGCCGATTCCAACTCATGGAGTCGTTTAATTTCTTGTTCAATTGTACTCTGGCTTGCTCCCAGTGTCTTTAAATCATTGATTATTTTAGCTTGCTCATTCAACTCTTTTTCAATTAGTCTCGATCTTTTACGAGTGTCCATTGAAGTATCTTTAAATTTCTTTATCTGAACGGCTGCTTCACGAGATTTTACTTTGTGGGTTAAACTGACCTGAAAAGATGATAATTCACCGTCTAATTTAAGTCCTCCCAGCATGGCCATTAGATTAACTTTTTGAATGGTAACAACGCCAAAAACAATCAGAGGTGTAAGCTCACGATGAATTAGTACTTGGGTGTATGTTTTCAACTTGTCACTTGATACAATGTTAATCATTGATTTTCGCTGAGCACCACTTTCAATGAGGCTGACTTTTCGTCCACCTGTAGTTGGTGTACTCAAATCATCTACATCACTAAAATTATCACGTAATTGCTCATATCCACCTTTACCTCGATTTCTAACATCATCATCTTCTATGGTTAATTGAAAATTCGTTGAATCTTGTGCTGAGTATAATAATTTTAGCAAAATTTAACACTTTACCGACAACTTTTTTTAGCTTAGGTTCAAGTTTCTTTAATGGTTTATTTTTGGTGAGCTGACTGGTCCCCTCTTTGGTTAACCGCGCTTATTGAAAAGTTAATAAAGAATTTCTACCCTGATTATAATTCTATTGTGCTTAATGATATCACCCGCCTTTCAAATAAATAAGATTTTTTGTCATACTCGCAGTCAATACCCAAAAAACCTGAGTTTAAAGTTAGATAAGCTAAAAAAGATAGAAGAGAAGTGAGCCGACGAGGACTTCTTATGCCTTACCAGTTTTTCCCTACAATGATCCTGAATTTAAATATCTTCGTTTACTGCGTAGCTAGCTTAAGCTAGTCTCAATTTTATTGATCGAACTGTATTATTTTTGATAAGAAAAAATACTAAAATATCTGATTCAAGGGAAAGCAATAAATCAATTCACGGATACTTGAAATGAAAACAGTTCAAAATAATTTATTAACTTCTTTTGTAAAATGAGATTTAATTTACATTGAATAAACACCTCTGAGATAAGGTACCGTTTAGCAATTTTGTCTCATTATCTCAGCCACTACTGTATAGTGGATCCTTACCGTGATATTTCTTAAACGCCACAGTGAGAGGGTCGAGATCAACTGGTTTGGATGCCTGATATACATTATAGACTACTTTCTCGACAGGTTCTTCGCAGTTCAATGCACGCTCTCGTGCATATTTAAATTCTTCGTCAAAGTTTGTCGATCTGCAATAGTTTGCAACAGTGTCCTTTTGACCATAGTACGTAGCACCCTCATAATACATCTCATAACATCTTTGTTGTATATGACGAATGCTTTTACAGTCGTATGACTCAGCAGTATCCAAATCTCTTACAAAGCAAAACCTTCTAAGCTTTGTAATGTCAACTTGTTTACCATCAGAACATGAACACGGCAATTTTTCAACAACATCACATAGTATGTCTGAGGTGTCATCTGAAGTTTCACTGTTAACAGAATAGATTTTGACTATGAACAAAAAGAAAATAACTTGGTATAAATTGAAATACATTGTATAACTTAGTAATAGTAAATCTAACTAATCAAAAGAGTAAGTAAGTGAAATTGTTGAGCTCAATGCTTATATACCAACTTTTAAATTCATTAGCATATGCACCTTTCATTAAAATAATAAAATTGAGTCAGTTTTGTTTTTTCATTATACAGTGGATATTATGTAGTGGAATATATAACTTACAATAAGGAAACGGATATTGCTTCTGAACAAACCTAGCTCACCTTATTGTTCATGCATAATCCAATACAATCAAATTAGTCAAGTTCGTAAAATAAGAAAATGGAGTCAGTTTTGTTTTTTCATTATACAGTGGATATTATGTAGTGGAATATATAACTATTAATGAGCAGTGAGTCACCCACTTGATCGTAATTCAAGCATAATTATATGCAAAAGCCATTAAAGCCATTCGGTTTTTCACTAGTTGATTATGTTACATTTGTCTGTTCAAATGATTATTACTGTTTAAACTGAACTACAAACAAATAGCTTTGCTGATTCTCATGGATTTGAAAAAGCCAATTTTGCTACACAAATGAACAGCATCAATAAACAAAGGATAGCTTTGGCATCGGTCTTAAAAGAGCTGTTAAATGAAAAACAATCCAAATCCAGTGAAAGCGAAAAAGAATCAAAGATAATTCAAGCAATTGGTAGCATTTGATTATTCTTGACTTATGAAGGTTAACAATAAAATGAATAATTTTTTGATTTAAATAATTTTTACTGTACACAATTTTGTGTTTTCAATATTTACATGCTAATTATGCTGACATTAATATAATATAATAAATTCAAACTTTCACATTATAATATAAACATGAATAATTTAGGAAATTGTTTCATGCAAGAAAATCAAGAAGAAAATATTCAGATTATTTACAAGATGTTTTCAGTGAGCTGTTATAAGATATTGGTGCTCTTATCATAGATAATGGAGTAAATATTTTTACAAATAACTCAACAATTTAAGTTAAATGAATCTACTGTAATCTATCAAATTGGATAAGATCAATCATTCAACAAAGCGCATCAATATCTTCAAAATAAGGGTTTGACATAGGAGAAACAATCGAAAAAAAAGACTAGCAATTGTAATCTAAATAAAGGTCTAAGGTGATCATCTTGAGTTTGGAGATGATTCATTTTTGGAGGCAGAAATAACTCTGAACATTATTGCTGAAAGGACTTTATCAAGAGGGTCCATGGCACCTCTTTGAATCCATTTAGGTATTGTAGTCCGAGCTTGAGTAAAGCCAAGTCGCTGAAGAATATAATCGACTCCGTAAGGTTCAATGTTTTTACCAGCCCAAGTTAATAATCTGTAAATAATGCATAAAATTTTGTTAGTTTTAACTGAGCAATCAAGTAAATACAGAAATGTAAATGTAATCGTAAAAAAGAAATATAAAGGAGTTGAAAATCAACTTACCTAACAGTTGGTTCTAGATGCCAAGTTTGGCAATTAAATTCTCGATAGTCTCGCTCGTAAAGGGCCGTCTGATTTGATGAAGATCCTGCTGAAGTTTCTGGCATTTTAGTTGGTTCTTTGTTTTCAGAGGAACCTAAATTTGATCCGATTTCCCCAGTATCTGATTTATCAATTAGTTGACTACCTGTTGAACTTCGAGTGTGATAAATTTGCTTCTCTTTGAAATAGCTGGTGATTAATTCATGGAGGAAAAAGTATGCTTCAGCATCAACTGCAACAAAAATGTGATCATCAAAATCGGTAACAAATGTACAATCAACTCGAGGTTTAAGATCCATAACAGATGGTGGTCGAAGAGCTTGAAGATGCTCAGTTTTAAGATCAACTTGAAAACTTGGTAAAGCAAAGATTACTTCTTTAGAGTGGTGACATTCATTGCTTTTTGGATTTGATGAAAATTTACGTGAATGAAATTCTCCTGAGGCAGCTGAGGCTGCAGAGCCAAAACCATCACCAGAACGTTCGAATTCAATGACGGGAAAACGATTAATCTGATCTAAATCACTGCCAGCAAATGTGTATTGGAACCACTCGTGAAGTGACTTGAATTGAGGAGGAAACATAACGGTTCGAGATATTTTACAAACAGTTGCCATATTGGAATGTTGAGCATAAATACAGTCAACTGAAAAACTAGCCTCGTCAACATCACGACGACGATCACGTCTGCCCAATGAAAAAGTAAAATTTTGAATAATATGAGTATCAGATGAACCCGTTTCATTATTAACAACATCTTGAGCTTCGGAAGCAAAAGATATGGATGGTTTCAACATAGAGAAAAGTCCCCAAGATTTGGAACGAAAGTTAATTCCATAGAAACAAGCCAGTGAAATGTTGTTTCCAATTAATTCAAATGTTCCACCAAGAATGGTGCCTTTGGGTGGAAGTGGATTACTTAAAGTGGATAACGATGCACCAGAAACAAGTCGTAAAACCTTTTGCCAATGACGATGATGTCGATAAATTTCATTATTAGATGATCCACCATCAAGTAAACCGCTACCACTGGATGTTGATGTTGGTGTTGAGGGTTTATTAATTCGGACACTTCCACTGGTTGATGCTTTTTCCTTGTTAAATGAATGTCGATTTGTTGAGGTTGTTGGTACTCCTGGAACTGATGAATTAATTGTAGAGGATGATGAAGATGAAGAGGCTTTGTTTTTAGATGAAACTGCTTGAAATGATGAAAATACTCTTTTAGAATTGTGAAATTGTTGACTAAAAAATTCCTCCAATTTAGCAATAATTTTCATTATATCAGGTGTTGTTGATTTAGACATTAATAATTGAAGTTGATCCCAAGCAAGATTACAATGAATGAATATACAAGCTGGTCGTTTGGTTGGATGATTACCACTGTTTCCAGCGCCTTCATCAATCCTCCATTCATCTCGAAGAGTTAAATCAAGATCAGACATACGTAACATCAATATAGATGTACCCATGTAATCAAGTCGTTTCTCAAGAGCATCTAATTTAAGGGTTATCATATGATCAGGTTCTTTGCCGAAATTTTCCTTGATATTGACTTTGGTTTGAATTTGAGAGATTTCAAAGATACCTCCAATTATACCTCCTTTGGCATCTAAAGATGAACCATCCAAACCTAAACTAACATTGACACTTTTATGGCCATTTGAGTCGATTGATACTCTGCCTTCTGATCGGAAACCTCGAGTTAACCAACTTGTATTACCCATGACATTTGCCATATTCATGTGTACATTGAGCTTACAAAGGTTAACTCCAAAAAGAATCAACGTTTTCCATGGAGCGTTCATAATTTGTCTTTGTTGTTGCGTTGTTCCCTCTGAAGATACTGATGAGTGAAGTTGATTATGTTTAATTCGATGGTGGTGAGGATGATTGGTTTGAGATGATGAGGGATCAGTGTCTTGAATATTTAACCAAAGAGCATCTCTATTTCGATTTCCTGGAGACCTATTAAAAGGTTTCGATGTTATTATTTTAGATGAAGATGGCAAGCCAGTTTCATCCAAACTGGTCGAGGAGCTTGAAGTAGAGGCTGATGGTGATTTAGATGATGATGACGATGTTGATGACGATGACAGATTATAATCTTGATCTGAAAAGATACTATGACCACCGATTCCTTGATCACCGAGAAACATTCTCTTCCAAATTGCTTTACGATACCAAGCTTTAGGGAAAGCAAGGGTTTCCGTGAGACGACGCATATCATATTTAAAAGAAGCCGAACCAATGTCACAAAGAGCAGAAAATCGAATCATCACCGTTTGGTTAAACTTTTCTTGTGCAGAGTGGGATGATCTAGTGACTGGTGGAGATGTTTCCAGACTTAGAACAAGTCGGCGACTTCTAGATATGTTTATTTTAACAAATTCAACTTGTAAGCTGAGGGCATCTTTACGATCTGAATTGGATTTGGGCAACGGTGATGAAGTTGTTGATGATGCTTCAGAGACCATTGATGATCCAGGAGCTTTCTTTTGACCACCATAAGGATGAAAAATGTACAAGGAAAAGTCAGCAAGACAACCTGTCATGCTAAGTCCACCAATTGAGGTTTCTGTTTGATGTTGAGGGTGACGGAAATCAGAAGCCGATCTTTTATGGCCATATTTAATATTGCCTGCCCTTGAAGGTCCACACGATGATGAGAAAGGCATATTTTTACCCAATGGTTGTTGAGGCAAACTCATGTCAAGTTCATCTTGTAATCTTTTAGATGAAAAGACTAGGTCTACAGAAGGAAGTTGGAGAAGACATTCAACACGAGAAACTGGAAGACAACTAAATCTGAGCACGGAAGGTTGCATGTGAAGGTAAACAATAACATCTACTGGGAAAGAACCATAAACGGCATATTGAGCAGGAGCCGATGTAATTAAATCTGGTCGTGAAAAATCATCAGGATTGAGTTGATGACCATCTGAGGCTGGTGAAGATGTTTTACCGGACGAAGGAGGTTGAATTGGAATAGGTTCAAGAGCTTGTTCCATGAAATCAAGAATATGAGGTGATATTATGGTCTCTTCTGGGATACTGTGAAGAGTCATCCAAGCATAACACGAGGCTTTCTTAGAGCCACTTCGTTTAGCGGGATTAGGTGCAAAGCTAATGTTTGCTTGTGGTGTTTCAGAGTCTCGAGATTCTGGTACAGATTTCAGATTTCCAGGTCCAAATGTTGACAGTTGCTGTTGTCCTGGTGTTGACCCAAAGACTGTTTTTGAGTTATAATGCACTTTAATATCTAAACCTGGAATTAAAAAGATTGAATAATCCATTTGACTGGTACTTGTACCAGCAGTGGTTGGATATCTCAACCGATTTGAAGAAAGATTTGCCTTCAATCCAGCTCCAGAATTTCCATGTTTATTGTTTGTCAAAGAAGATCGTAGAGCACTTTGTCGAGGAATGTGACCCAATGGGGACGACAATCCATCAGGATTTCCCGTGAAACTTCGCTCCTTGGGTAAACCATTTTTACGAGAATATTCATCATCTTTGACTGATTCTCGAGTGTGAAAAACACATTTACCACTGTTGAAAAATACTTTAATATCCAATTCAAAATCAATGTAAGGTTCTTGAATTTGATAGCTCGTTGGTTTGACTTGAATATTTGGGATACTCCGAACGTCTGGAACAAAACTTGTCTCTTTATTCCCAGTTGGTTGTGTGTTTCTAATTGAAGATGAAAAATTAAAGATTAAATTGTAAACATGTAAAATGGAACAACAAAAGAAATGGATTAAAGCAAAACATTTAAACTAACAAGTGATTAAGTAATTGTAAGTTTTAAATAATAAATAACAAGTCACAAGTGACTAACAATTATTGAGAGAGACAAAGAAAATGAGAGACGAAATAAACATACTTATTAAGACGCTTAAGCAGAGATGAATGATCATCAGAATTGTCACAGTTATTTTTATTGACGCGAGAAGCATTAGTAGACACATTTGAAGATGTTGTTAACGATCCAGTGTAATCAATCTTACTTGAACCACTGGTTGATGAGAAAGTGTTGTTACATGAATCAGAATAGGTATTCAAATGATCAGATGAAATGCTATTTGTAGTTTGTTGACTACTTGAATAGCTACGGGAAATTGCGGAAAGTGAGGTTGATTTTGATGAATCTTGCGGTGTTGTACCCAAAGACTGTGCTTTGGGAGAATTAGATTGTGATGCGAAATGGACTTTATCATCAAGTGACGAAGTAGTAAAAAGCGGGCTGAAAATGAGAGAGAGAGAAAGAGAGATTGGAAAATAGAAAGCAACAATTAGGGGATCAGCAATTACAATATGGATTTAAGACAAATATAGATGTGACAATGAAAAGCATCTTAAGATAGTTAAGAAAAAAGCTTGGCAAAGGCAACAATTAGACGTTTAATTTGAATTAATATGTTAAACTTACTCATCTCCAGCTTGATCAGCAGTATTTAAATCCAGAGAGATGCTTCTAGCTGCAAAATCACCATTGTTATGATTTTCAAATTGTCTTAATTTATCGATTGAATTGTTTCCTTCACTTTCTGATGTAGTAAGACCTGTTGTAGGTTCAGGGTCCGAATTGAGACAAGTTTCCGTTATCGAAGGAGTCATTTTACTGTCCACCAAACTCAATTTGTCTCTAAAAGATGATCTTTTGACAGATTGACGTCTCAATTTTTTGATTACATCTCTTTTAAAGTCATTGAAGACAGCCGATTCCAACTCATGGAGTCGTTTAATTTCTTGTTCAATTGTACTCTGGCTTGCTCCCAGTGTCTTTAAATCATTGATGATTTTTGCTTGCTCATTCAGCTCTTTTTCAATTAGTCTCGATCTTTTACGAGTGTCCATTGAAGTATCTTTAAACAACGAAGTTCGACGAAGATTAACATTGGCCAGTTCTGGATCATTAGCCAGAGGAGATGTCATTTCAATCTCTACATTTGGACCGTCACCTTTAAACTCAACTCCTTCATTAGTTGTATCGTCAATTGATGAGTAATCAATAGTGTCAATCTCATCTTCATCTCCAGCAATGGCAGTAAGAGTTTTAAATAAAGCAGAAAATTGTTTTCCAATGGAAGTGTCGACATGAATGTCAAAACCCTCCATTCTCCAGGATACATTGAGTAACCATTTAGCATCGCTACCAGAGAGAGCAGGATGATTGGGAACAATATGAGTAATTGTTTTAGAGCACATTTCGTAGGTTCCTTCAGAGACAATACACAAGTTCATCACAGAAGGATCTGAATGGTCGGGTTTCCAATCATCAAGGGATGTTTCAAAGTCATCAGCAAATCTAAAACAGAGTCCTGTGAATCGAGCTTTGGACACCAGTGAACCGCAAGAACAAGCAGATATTCGTGTCGATTCAAGAGTAATAACTAAAGCTGATTTTAGTTCAGCATCATAAGGTTTGGAATTAATTAATCCAGATGTTTGGTAAGTATTGGAATAAGAAATGGGTAAACATATTCCAAGATCGTCAATGGTCAATTGTAGAAACAGTGTTCCCAAGTTTTGTGGACTTATTTGAGGTATCTGTGGTATTTTGTCCAATACCTGTTGAGTTGTTATGAGAACTTCTTTGTTCAAATTAGCTCGTTGTTCATTCCAATATTCATAAGCATTCTTATAATTTAACCAAACAAGGACAGCTTTATCCAGTGCTAGCGGTTGAATATAGAGGAGTGGACGATGGAGAGTAATGAGAAGTGCTTCCTTTCCCTCAGCAGATGTCATTGATGATGAAACTAGTTCGTCTTGTAAAGCATTTCTTAGTACAATTCGAGTCTTGAAGTAAGCAAGTTGTTGAAATTCTGGATCAGCTTCTTCAAACAAAGCATTCCGTATCAATTGTCCAAGGGCAACATTGAGATCAACTTGCAATTTAATGAATAGTTTAAGGTTAACATCATGTAATCCTCGGAAAGTAGATGACATGTTTTGTACTCTATTTGATAATTGTAGTTCCATAGCGCCAGTTTCAAGTCTAACTGCCGAATTGGTTGGAGTAGTTGCAGTAATTTGAATTCCTTCGAGTCTTAAATGAAGAGAGAAAAGAAGATAACGCGCCTTTGAAGATGCTGTTGCCGTCATTAGACCTGAATGAAGAGAGTCATTCATAGATTTATCCATTTCACTTGACTCTGGTTCCAATATTTTACTTTCACAACCTGACATTTTTTGGACAACTTCATTAACTTCCTTCATGAAAACCTTTTGAACCAATAACAGGTGATTGAGCAAGTCAGTAGTTAAACTGTGTTCAAAAGAGCCAATGTCAGCAATTGCATGAAGGTAACTTCCTTTCCTTAAAACAATCCCATCAGCAAAACTATCTGGCCTATTGGAGCCGGCAACTTTACCTCGATTTGGTGGATCCTCCATGTATTCCGCTGAAACATGAATCGGAGGCATTGAAACATTGGCTGATGATGGTAAACTTGAATCTGCTGATGGAAGATTGGTATTGAAACTAAGAGTGTGTTCCCTGACATCAACAACAAACTTAGCCTTGGTTCCCATCAATCCATTGCTTGTTATTTGACCAATTTTATATTGAGCTCGAAGAGAGGGAAGCAATGATGCACCAATTGTAAAACTATCAAATACAATGCTGAATTGGAAAACAATTGGTTTGATTAATTTGGGTGGTTCTGGTTTCACACCGATTGGCTCAGCGGTGGTGGTTGGTATATTTTCCTTAACTTCTCGAGTCATTGAATCACGGGTTGGGGATGACATTAAATTGGAGCTAAAAGAGGGACCCAAATTGGCACCAGTCATTGTTATATTTTCAGATTCATTTTGTTGACGACTGGATCGTGATGGTTGACGAGATGACCTTAACTCTTGTAACGTTGTAGATAATTGGCGACTTGATCGGGTCATCATTCCATGTAATGCAACAGGGTGTTGAGGGATGTCAATCATTATTGGACCGATTGTTAATAAAGCAGAATTGGCATCTTTGCCTTTTCGATTTTGTGAAGAAATTAAAGTCTGCGATTTACCGATTGTCATTTTAACAACCATTTGTTGATTAGGGGGAACCTCTTCAAACAATGAGAAGGTTGATTGACCCAATTGTCCGGTTAATGAACTTTCTTCCCATTTCTTTATCTGAACGGCTGCTCCACGAGATTTTATTTTGTGGGTTAAACTGACCTGGAAAGATGATAATTCTCCGTCTAATTTAAGTCCTCCCAGCATGGCCATTAGATTAACTTTTTGAATGGTGACAACGCCAAAAACAATTAGAGGTGTAAGCTCACGATGAATTAGTGCTTGGGTGTATGTCTTCAATTTGTCACTTGATACAATGTTAATCATTGATTTTCGCTGAGCACCACTTTCAATGAGGCTGACTTTTCGTCCACCTGTGGTTGGTGTACTCAAATCATCTACATCACTAAAATTATCACGTAATTGCTCATATCCACCTTTACCTCGATTTCTAACATCATCATCTTCTATGGTTATTTTGGTTTCCATTTGTTGAATTGTTGTTGGTGGTCGTTCGGATCTTTCAATAATTGTTTTAGTTTCTGGTGTAGTTTCATAAAGATCTAGCAAATAATACATTGTCCTCCAACACTTAGGTTGCTCAACATTTATTGATGGCAATTCTTCCATAACTGATTCAGACATTTTGATTTCAACGGAATCTTCATCATTAGTGGGAATCTCAATAATGGTCTCCTTAATATCAACAATGCTACCTTGTGGACTCTTATTTTGTTTAGTATGATCGATTGGTTGTAAACTAATCAATGATGGTGTACGACTTGTGTCTCCAACAATTTCACCATCTTCTTCCCCAGTAAACTCTTTACCATTAGTATTGGATGAAATAAAAGCACCGACTTTAACGCCCGGTGAAGATGTTCCTTCAATCCTGTTTGCTTTCAACTCTTCACGAGTTTCCTTTATACTCTCACACATGGATGCTACTTGGTGTAATAAACGTAGTAACGGTAAGTTTACTCGTTGAATAATTTGGTGAACATCAACACTGAAATTAATTGTAGTTGTAATTTCATTGATTCCACCATCTGGTCCAACAATGACAATTGGTACATTTTCATCATGCTCACTGGTTTTGTCATCCATTCCAGTTGGATGTGGGACACTGGAATGAGGTACGCTAGAAGCATCATTAACACTTGGCTCACCCGCAGACATTGTGTCTTTAACTTTACGTAAATCAAGACCAACAGCGAGTCCATCACAAATAAATGCCGATGTTTCTAATTTTAGCCCTTGATTCGCTGGGAAAGATGTAAAAAGGAAATCTGGTCGAATATGAGACGAAGTAGTTGCAGTCATGGTCGATTTATTGATTGGACGGTCAGCGGACGAAGTGAATGATATTGGCGATGATCGAGATCTATTGGCATCTGAAACTTCACTTTCAACAATGTTCACTTTAAACATTTTAATGGCTGCTGAAAGAGTTATTTTAGGTCCAAGTTGGTCAAAAGAAATGCTTGCTTCACCTTCTTCAGTAAAATTTTCAACGCCAAGAGAAGAGAAAAGAGGTTGAAATATAATTCGAACATTATTGAGCTGCACTCCAGTTGGTACAAAAACAAAACCAGGAGGAACTTCAACGACTGGATCACCCGAAGCAGCAGCAGTCTCTTCTTCATAGGAATAAGCAGAGCCAAGAGTGTTGTACCGAGTTGAATCGATGGTAACATTACGAGGATTAAGTGATGAGGTTCGTCGATGGTGGTTAGTAGTTTGGTACAAATTTTTCGCCTCCATATAATCTTGTTGCCGTGACATCCATAAATATAGATTTTCTTCGTGATAATCAGCATTGTCACCTCCTTTTGGGTTAAATAACGACTCTCCCATGGCCGCAGGATCAGCAGCACTTGATGAACTGGAAGTTGACTTTAAACTGCATTGACTTTCTTGACGCTTATTACCCTTTACACAAGAGCTTTGGTGACTATTGGGACTAAAAAGGAATCCGTATGCTTTATTCACACCAGATCCTAATGATTCTAATGGGTAGGTCAATAAAGGGAATGGAACTGATCCCCGAGATGAACGGGAAAAGATATTAGGAAGAGTAGACATTTTCCGTCTAGTTGAATGAACGCCATTTTCTTCTGCTTGTGAGCCTCTAACTCCACTATTTATTATAATTTCTGGTTGACTTGAGGTTCGATCACGTCTAGAACCAAAACCAACTCGTTCATGCGATGTTTCCTCACCCTTACTTGTTGTTTGTTTCAATTCAAGATGAATAACTTCTTTTGATTCTTTTACTTGAGAAAGTAATTTAGTTTGCTCGTCTACGTTTTCTGCAATCTTTTCATCACTTTGAGATGGTTCAGGCATACAAGAAAGTGGAGCTTCTTGAGGAGGCTTTTGAGGAGCAGAGGAACCAAAAAGTAAACGTAAAGGTATGCTCGATTGATAAATTGAGGATGCATCTCTTTCACCTCGCGTTAGACGAATATTTTGTTCAACTAAAAGTGGCATGTAAAGAGCATTCTTCCATTGACGACTTGCAGCGATAACACCACGTTTTAGTACATGAAGGGGAGGAACTAAAGTTGATTTTAGGTTTGCTTCGACTTCAACTAGATTTGCGTGACGGTTGAGATAACGACGAAGGACATTCATCAGTTGGCAGGAAGGATCTTCTTGTAATGATTTAGAATAAGGTGTATATTTTCGAATGTAGCATTTACTTTGCGGCGGAATGTGAATTCCTTCAACTTCCAGGCCAGAAATCATTAAATATGTAATTACAGAGGAAACTCGTTGTTCGTACAAAGAGTTCATTTTTTTAACAGCAACTCCTAGACGATCACCAACACTCAGCCAAGCGTTGATGGAAGGTGTTGCCGTACTCAATAAATGCCAATCTAATCGAGTATAGTCAATCTTGCGAGTGTTGGGGGTCTTAAGAGGAGCGGCAAAATTTAACCATATAACACCAATTTCACCGATAAATGATGAAGCTCCTTTATCTCGTTCCTTTTTGTACGATTTTCGATCTTTCTTGTTCTCAGTGTTACCATCTTCTTTGGTTTCAACATTTTCGCTTATGTTGTGCGGTTGGTCAGGATAAGTAGAACTAGAATCTAGCATCTCTCGTTTTTTGACAGCTTTTAAGTCAATATGCTCCAAGCCTCCTTCAAACATGATAAATCCTGAATATAATGGATTGTCACTTTCACCACTAGAACCATCACCAATTTTATTTGTATCCAATGAAACAGTTTCTGTTTCAATCTTTTCTTCAGCAACTTCTTGTCGTCGAAGGGATACTCTGGCTGTACCACTTGATCGTCTTCGACCTGTAGATGTCAACACTTTTAGTCCAGGCTGGTCAACAATAATTGTTTTATCGAGATAAAAGTTGACTCGACTTTGGTTTAGTGGGATAACAGTTAGAATTGCTTCCTTCAATATTGAACTACTATTCTTGAGTCGAGTTAATTGAACATGTAAACTTCCGATCCCTCCACTGCCAACAGTTTCTTCTTCTAGAAGCTCATGGGTCTCGATGGTCACAGGTTCCACTTCGGCTCTTTCCTTTTTAGGTTTACGGAATAGTAGTCGACTGACAATATCACTTTGAGCAAATTGGGCAAAAGCAGAGGTTGGCTGAGTTCTGATGTTATTACTAATAACAGTATGAAGAGATCGTCTCTCTTGACGGCTGCTATAAAAATCAAAATTTGTTTTTGATAGAGATGCGGAAAACATCGATACACAGGTTAAGTCACGAATATCGTCTAAAGCTGAAAATGTAATGAACTCCTCAACAAGGGAAGCTTGCAAGACAATAATATTTATCTTTGAGATTTGAACAAAAACTTGAAATTTAGATCTTTTATTCTCCTCATATTGATTTGCTGTTACTGTTGATTCGATTGGAGGTGATTTAAATTGTGATTTAACATCTTCAAAAGCTTCACCAAATCGAGTTCGACCAGTTGTAATTCCACTTTGTGCTCCACTGGTTGTTGCTTGTTGATTAGTTGAATTTAGATTTTCACGATCCAATGTACTTTTCCAAGCTTTATGTTTTAATTGACCATATTCCAACGTTTTCTCTTTCTTTAACTGATTTTTACGAGCAACTGATGTAAAACATTTAACATTCAAATGGTTGATGATTGTCAAAGAATGGACATGAGCTAATGATTCTGTAATGCTATCAACAAATGTTTTGAGACCATCTAAACTTAATGGTGATATGCGAACAGAAGCTTCACCATTCATTCGGATTAAAATGGTCACCTTTTCACTTCTAAATTCAACAGTTTTACTGAATTGTTTCTCCATTCGCTTTTTGAAAGCAAGATTTTCACAACTGCCATCGGTATCACCTTCATCAGTATCTTTTTGATTATTTGGATCTAAATTTTTACTTTCAATTTTTTCATAAACAGAACCTGGAGTGAAAATAAATCGACCTTCATTCATATACTTTGCTTGTTCTGAATCTTGTTTTTCGGCGCTTTTTGAATGAGAAGACACTTCTGGTCCTGATTTTTCCGCTAACTTAATGCAAGATAATCCATTTGAGGTTGATCGAACAAAACGTGGAATAACTTTTTTCCTTCCTCGTAAAGTTAAAATATCAATTGATGAATTTGTGTTTTTATAATTAGCACATTCAAATCGAGTTAGATGGTTGGTGTAGGAAGACATTAATAATGGAGATTCAATGATTGACTTTTCCATTTGATTACGAAGATCTACTAAAGCATTGATTCCAATTTCTTCTTGCGATGAAACAGCCGAAAGAAATGATGAACTTGAAATGGAATGATTGTCTGTCTCTGATTCAGCATCATTTGCAGTGTTACCTTGCGTTATGGTTGCAGTGATTGTTGCCTGACCTGCATCAGGCGGGGCACTGTAGGTTGATTGTAAACTTGTTATAGATCTGTTTAGAGCACTTTGACTCATTGAGCCACACTGTTCACGGAATGTTGCACCAGATGGTCCTGAACCAGGAATTGACATAATAGAAACAAGAGTGTCATCACTTTTAACTGCTTCAACAGGTTGATGTGTAGGTGCAGTAACTAACGTACGGTCAGCTGTTGATTTACTTTCTTTTGAAGATGACGAAAAGGAATCGCTGGCAGAAAAATAAGGATCGGTAACAGTAAAATAAGTTTCAGTTGCTTTAGAAGCTCCACTTCTTGATGAATCGTCTCGCGAGTTTGATGGTTTAAAGTCGACGATCTTTTTTAACTCATCTTCAACTCCAGCTTCGGTTTTAAACAAATCTTTACTGATTTCAATATCATCACTTTCACTAAGACTGCGGTTCCTTAAACGATCAGGTATGGGCAACTTTGGTCTATTGTCATTAACTATAAGTTAAAAATTAAAATACATTCATTAAAAATCGATATTTTTTTAAGATAAAAAACAAATTTCTTACCAGCTGATGAAACAGATAATGATGTGTTGAGATTGGTGATGCTTCGATTATCTCTGGATGGAAAAGGACTGGACCTTGCTGGACTTGAAAGCTGCCGTGAGAATATACCAATTCTTCCTGATTTATTGGTTTGACTAGTTGATAAAAATGATGATATGTTTTGCAAGGACGAATCATTTCCAGCTATTAAGGAATTACTTCGAACTGAAGGTGATAATGGACTTGTAACACAGTAATTTGATCGCTCAAAGAGAGGAGCTAACTCGCAAGCGTCTTCGCTTTCTTCTTCCATATGAAAAACAGTATTTATTTCGAAACCTGCCACAGGTTCACCTGGTCTTAAAAGACTTTCTCCCCAAAGAATGTTACCTTCTGAATTTACCGTGGGATCATGTTTACCAAGAGAAAAGAAATCGTTTCCGCGAGAATTTTTCCCGAAAAATGCACAACCTCCAACACATCCACATTTACCATTACAGTTATTTTCATTTGTTTTATAAGGCCACAAAAACCAGAGACGTTTGGTTGCCTCATCATGGGTACGAAGGAAAGTATCTTGACTAACGGTAAAATTATCCACAACCGAGAGAAGTTCAGCTGAATCTACGAAGATGGGTCCAAAGTTGATTTTACAGACTTCATAGAATGTGTTTTCTGAGTCTGAATGTTGCTGGTTATTTGTTGGCGCTAAATAAAGCTTTGAACTTTTAAAATTACTCAATGAGCTACTCATAGAAATATAGTGATGAAGAGTGATTTCTTTGAATAAGGCAGTCATTCCACTACTTGTATGGCAACTATGAATATTACAGGTACAAAATTTTATCTGATCTAGTTCAAGTGCTAAAACAGTATTAACATCGGTAAAGAAAAGTTGAATTGAATCCAAATCAATCCGTACCATGCGATATTTCAGATCTTCTGAATAAGGGCACATTTTATTGTCTCCACTGGCTTGTGTCTTGGGACATAATGACTGAACCATATCGTGGAGACATTTTTGGTAGGGTGTGGGTGGTTGAAGGGAGCAATCTTCTTGCATAACTTGAAGAGCAAGTGTTTCAAAGCCAACAAACACTTGTTGAAATTGTGGTAAACTCAAGCGACCGGCAATTTCGCCGAGATGAACTTCAATAAGCCAAGCATATTCCAATGTTTCACTATCAAGAGGACGATCAAGACCAGAAAACATTGCATGTCCACGAAATTGTAGTGAATCTAAAATAAGATGACCAGTGTTTGATAATGTACGATTGCCTAGAGACATAATATATTCAGGTGCATCTAGTATTAAAGGTGAAAGGAGTAGTTGCATTTTCGTTTCAGAGTACTGTTTATCCATTTCAAAACAAAGTCTTTCCAGGTAAAGATAAGGACAGGGAGGAATATTGGGGTTGGAGTCATTTTCATCACAGCTTTTCATAATATGACCTTGTATATTATGCAGAGTTACTGAAACATTTACTGCTAAAGGTCGGTATAATCGAGCGTCAAATGGTTTATTAGCCTCACCATACATGGATGATGGTTTGGAAGGTGTTTTGTTTAATTCATAAGGCTCAGTAACACTTGGATTGGAATTGAAGTCTGTAAATGTCTGATATTCACCGATATAATTTTCTTTCAAATTCCAAAGCATTCGAAATAATGTACCATAAAGACAAATTTTAGACGGGCCGACTTCAAGCTCCAACTCGACTAGATCAGGGTCCATAGAACCTGGATTAAAATCAGGAGGAATGGCATTCAAGGCTTTGGCGGACAAACAGCTTTCAGGTCTTATGGGTTCCAAAAGGAGTTCTTCTCTCTCTGGAGTAGTTATCTCAGAAGCTTTCGGTGAATGAGTCTTAGGTGGGCAAGGATGATATGTGTAGGTAATGGAGAGAGCTACAATTCTTACAGACCAACAATCAATCCATCCATTTGCACGACTCACCGAACGGTGCCATTTTTTATCACAAGAGAAAAGATCAGAAGTTCGAATGGCGGTAAAATATGGTTCTTGGTTAGATGAGTTGAAAAGAGGTGGACACAATTTGGCATATTTATCTAACATGTGGAGAGTTTCGCGATGAGGATTACATTCAGGAAGATAAAGAGCAGCATTGAGACTTTCTCCTTGGATCCATATTTTAATTGACACGTTAGGAGGAAGAAATTCATTAAAAGGTAAATCAAAAGACATATCATAAATATCACCGACAATGGCAAGCTGAGCATTTTCACTGTTCAACTTTGATGAGCAATCAATCCAATTATATTCATTGGCCAAAGTAATTAATTCAAAATCAACCAATTTCACAGAAAATTTCCAAGTATATGGGATAAAACGAACAATATCAGGCCTATCTTTACCAGCCCAGTCATCAATTAAATCACAGAAGAAAATTTTATGGGCAAATATTAGGTCAACTGTAGCCTTGCACCCAGTAAGTGAACAAATCCAAGTTTGATGATGATTCCACACTCTCGGGTAAAGTATTTTAAAATCAAATTCCAACGTTTCACTTTCAGCTAGTGAGCGAAAGTTTAGATTGGTCGTTGCATCAAGATGAAGTATTTGTCCCCAGATATGGGATTGATAGCCATCTTCTTTACAAGTCCATGGAATGGATATTTCAAGGTATGAACCTGGTCCAGCATTAACATGGAGAGCTTTGGTTTCTTTTTCTTTAGTAATGAACAATATATCAATAGCAGCATCTGCTAGAGTACTTAAGCGTATATAAAATGTTTCTGCCTGTCGTAACTCTCCTGGTTTGGGCTTGGATGTTGGTACAATAGGTTGATAATCTGGTGGATAGAAAAAGTTGTAAAGATGATCACGATTACGATCTGCCCATGGACCGTAACCAAAATGTGTTCCCTTTCCGCATTTGATATCTAAACCCCAAGCTGGAGCAGTGAAGTCAACAATAACATCTCCAGAGGCAAGTTCGATTGTTTCAGGGACACTTCCTGCCAGACCAGGTTCATCTTGGTAATAATACAAATCAATGGCATTCGTTTGGAAAACAACAAAGCCTTCTCCCATAAATCTGGGTGGTTCCTCAACGAGACCAATATATTTAGGACTAGGAGCTAAAATAATTTTGAAACTTTCAGCTTTTGCTTTCGCTATGTGGGTGAAGAGATCATGAGGTGAAACGGTAGGGCGGGATGTGTAAGTAATATGACCTTCTTCAAAAGTGATCAACAGGGTACTAGGGATAGTATGATTGCCAAACACAAATCGACCAGTGAGTATTTCAATCTTTGTGAGAGGGAAAAAATTTCTCCACAAGTAAACACTAATAAGTTCATCATTATCCGATGCTTTCATGTGTGAAGCTGTTGAAGATGATGACGAATAACCTCCCGGCTCAGGAGGTGCTTTACCTCCTCCTTTATCATAATCTGGATTAAATTTAGGTGGACTAATACCAAACAAACGTTCCAATTCAGAATACATATGAGATCTATTATAAATATGCAGTTCAAAACCATTGAATAACATTGATAGTCTAGCATCAGAATGACTAAAATCACTTTTCCGTACATCTCTAGGCTCAAAAGGGATCCACCATCGTAGAATGATCCAACCATCTTGAATTCGCAAAGAGTAATCGGTTGTTATCCAAACAAGATCTCGGAACATAATCTTGCCTGATATGAATGTAAGTGAAAATGAAGAGACTCGGAAATAGGGTTGCTCGCATCTTTTGGTATCAGGATAAAGATAACGGGCAATAATAAAATTGTTCACAAATTTTGTCAAAATAAAACCAAATAATCTTGAATTATAGTATAATGAATATGTTAACCAAATAGTTGAGAGAAGAAGTAAGAATAGAAGCCATGCAAAATCTGCATCCAGAGGAACTTCATCATAACCGATAGTCAAGTTGGGAAGTAAACCTTTGAATTCTTTAAATCTACAGCAAGGGAAAAAATCAGAAGAAAAGTACAGAAGAGGAAAAAAATGATGAAAAAATGTTAGAAAAGCAATGAATAAGAAAATTTCAACTCAGTCGATGAATAATCAAAAGCAATGATGACCTGACAGTCTATTTTTTAAACATTTACCCGACTGTCATTAATTAATTAAAAATTTTACTTACACATCAGTTTTTTCTTCTTCATTATCATTTTTGTCTAAAACACCAAATTGAAACACTCCGGAGGTACTCATCAGATGAAAGGTTAATGGTTGAAAATTTCCTAGATTGGTGAATGTCCGAAAAAGGGTAGAAATCAACAAATAATTAATTAATATTATTTAAAATGAAAAAACAAAAAATTATTCATCAATTAGCAATAAAAAAAAGTAATTCACATTTTGTTTCAATAAAATACTGTTTACAAATATAGCAAAGTTTACCCTAAAATAAACAGGTTCACCAGATGACGCCTTTAACAGCAACAACATAATCGCGCCTAAATTGAAGACATGAAAATAGATTGTTAATTATGATCAGTTTATTGGTATTTATTTATGCCCTGAATAACTGTCAAAGGATAACTTGAATTTACTCGGTTAATAATTGTTTGTTATCAGCCACCTGATATTGTTCATTATTAATTATCTTTCATGAGACAAAGTGATGCAGAAAAATACAAATAAGCATAATCACTATGAACCAAAGAGGAGCTTTGCTATGAACTCTTCAATTTTTCCACATAAAGCTATCTAATCAATTAAAGATCATGATAATGACATTTTCATCATTTATTATCATCAACATTTGAACAATTTACAATGAAGAGTTGAAGTTATTTACAGCATTTGTAATAAAATGAAACTCATTTGAATCTGATGCCAAGATTATTACATTTATTAGACTATTGAATGTCATTGAAACAATCTGACTAGCTTTTCGATTTCCAAATCAAGTAAATTTTAATTGTAATTGTTATTTTATCCAACATTGATTTATCATGAACGGATTTTCAATGTTGGCACTGTCAAGTTAGATGCTGTTTTGATAAGATATTTTTATCCATTAGATCAACTTATGTCATTGTTTTCATTGATCAATCATTAACCACATTTTTTTCCTTGTTTTGATTAATATCTTGACACAATCAACCAACATGTCAATTCAAATTATTTCACTGAACTTGAGTCTCATAATTGGTTACCAAAACAATAGTTGGACTCAAGATTCTCATTAGTATTTCAATAGTCAGATTCACCAAACTCAATGATGGCAATCTTTCAATAACATTTTTCGGTCAAAATGGTTTCATTTGATTATCCCAATCAAATTGAGTGAGGTAAAGCAAATAATCATTAGTGATACATTAAATTTTGATTCAATTCAACAGCAGAATTTGACTCACCAAATTGATTAAAGTCTGATGGGTGGATGAATGTCTATCCCTGGATAATGTCAATATTTTATTTTGATATTTTCATTTTCCGTTGATGAACATGAATTAAAGGTAAGAGTTATACTCTTTGCTTTGGAGGGTTACTGACCGAACCAGTCTGCAATATTATAATAGCTAATGTTGCCTAACAATCTGACCACTGGATTTATTGTGAAAACTGATTTTTGTCGCAACTGATATGAACTTCAAACTAAACAGAGTCATCGGTTATCACTGTTTATCTTTGAATTTACCACTTTATCAGAAAACATTTACAAATCTATACTTCCAATCAAAATTGAAATTGCCGCAGCAAAATCAAGTGTAATCTAAATTTAAATTTCATTGGCTAAGAAATGGATTAAGAAATTGGCTAATCAAAAGAGTTGGGGTTATTTTAAACAAGAAAAGATTATCGTCTGATGCACTTTAACAAATGGTGTTTTTAGTGAAGCTTTTCATTTTTAATTTCCAACAATTTCAATTTTAAATTATTCTAGTGTTGACTTGATTTCAATTTTAATCACTTTTGCTCTAAACATGTTCAAGATGGTGGAACCTTACCCGCTACTAGCCGCTGGAATCGCCGTTGCTATCTCTGTGTTTACTATAACCCTTATATACGGTTTTTCATGGGGAATTCCCAGGTAAGTGTTTTCCCAATTCCCACCATGATAGACCCAACAATACTTGAATCGTTTTCCTAAATCTAGTTGATTACATTGTCCTAAACCAAAAACTTGAATGACCAAATTGTTTTAACTCGTTTTGTGTATTTCTTTTGTGTTTTAAAAGGCATACTACTACAGGAATCAGATTACGATTGTTTGGTATGGCCGGTTCAGCACTTCTTTCGACGTTATTTCTTCATTTAGGTGGTTTTATTACGGCTTGTGAACTGATTCCTAGCATTGAATACTCATTTGAGCTGTTCCTTGAAACTATGTTGCTTCCCCTTGGGATAACTATAATACTTTTAACTGGGCCTATTGTTGATCGAGCCATGAGCAAATCTGTTTTCACTGCACCTTCACACTATCAGGTTCACGAAAAGTTTCGCAGTTACATCGCTGCTCCAGTAATTGAGGAATATTTGTATCGATTTTTGCTGTCATCGCTATTGCTTAAAAGTTTCTCGGTTGAGTACACAATTTTGATACAAGCGATTCTTTTCTCGCTCAGCCATGCTCATCATCATTATATGGCACTGTTACGGAGTGGCTCATGTGACTGGTCTCAATTGGGCGTCCACACACTATCAACCTTCCTCTTTGGATTGTATTCCGGCTTTCTTTACGTTAGGTGTAAATCAATAGTCTGTTTGTCATTGATTCATGGCTTCTGTAACTGGATAAATGTACCTAGATTTAGTCGACTCTGGTCTAAATTCTATAAGACCTTTGCAACCTTTTTTGGCCTGATGTCTGCAACGGTTCTTTTATATTTTTTCGGAAATGATTACACTCGATATCGCGCTTTGATTCCATGTAAATAGTTCAATATCACACCATGAATTTTCATTATACCAGACGAAGCTTGTCGCAATATTTCTTACACTTATCAATAGCTTCACATTGACCTCTGACTTTTTAATTATTGATTTTTATAATGATCTATGACATTGAAACAATCTGAAACTTAATAAATTTAAATTAGTTGAAAAAACACAATACTGTTTGTAATTATTGAAATGATGAATTTACAATGAAGGACAGTTTTCAAATAATTTTTGTCCTTTTAACACAAGTTTTACCAATTTTGGTTTACCTTTGATAAATATTTTCACTAAATCGATCATCGATTGATCAATAAATCACGAAATTGTAATTTTAATAATTTTTTAAAAAATATTGCTTTGTGATGAAATTTGAAACGCGTTTTCAATGTTGGCGCTATCAAGTTTGCTAGATGCTATTTTGATAAGATATTTTTATCCGTTAGGATCTAATGATCAACTTAAGTCATTGTTTTCATTGGTCAATCATTAAGTTAACCACATTTTTTCCTTGTTTTGATTAATATCTTTATACAATCAACCAACATGTCAATTCAAATTATTTTACTGAACTTGAATCTCATAATTGGTTACCAAAACAATAGATGGACTGAAAATCCTGATTAGTAAATCGTCAGATTAAAGAAATTCGATGATGGCAATCTTTCAATAACATTTTTTGGTCAAAATGGTTTTATTTAATTATCCCAATCAAATTGATTGAGGTAAAGCAAATAATCATTAGTGATACGCTGAATTTTGATTCAATCCAAAAGCAGAATTTGACTCACCACTTGAGAATCAAAGTCTGATGGGTGGATGAATGTCTATCCCTGGATAATGTCAATATTTTATTTTGATGATTTCATTTTCCGTTAATGGACATGAATTAAAGGTAAGAGTTATACTCTTTGCTTTGGAGGGTTACTGACCGAACCAGTCTGCAATATTAGCTAATGTTGCCTAACAATCATCTGACCACTGGATTTATTGTGAAAATTGATTTTTGTCGCAACTGATATGAATTTCAACGTAAACAAAGTCAATGGTTATCACTGTTTATCTTTGAATTTACCACTTTATCAGAAAACATTTACAAATCTTTACTTCCAATCAAAATTGAAATTGCCGCAGCAAAATCAAGTGTAATCTAAATTTAAATTTCATTGGCTAAGAAATGGATTAAGAAATTGGCTAATCAAAAGAGTTGGGGTTATTTTAAACAAGAAAAGCTGATCGTCTGATGCACTTTAACAAATGGTGTTTTAGTTAAGCATTTCATTTTAATTTTCAACAATTTCAATTTTAAATTATTCTAGTGTGTTGACTTGATTTCAATTTTAATCACTTTTGCTCTAAACATGTTCGTGGGCAGAATAAGGACGTCTTGCTTTAACTTAACCGCTGTAATAGCCTTTAATATCGCTGTGTTTACTATAGTCCTTATATACGTTTTTTCATGTAGAACTCCCAGGTAAGTGTTTTCCCAATTGCCACCATGATATAATAGATCCAACAATACTTTACAACTCGTTTTGTGTATTTTTTTTGTTTTTTAAAAGGAATACTACTTTAGGAATCAATTTACGATTGTTTGGTATGTTCATGTCAGCACTTCTTTCGACTTTATTTCTTAAGTCTGCTGGTTTTATAACGGAAAAAGAACTTACTCCTAGTATTGAATACTCAATTCCACTGTTCCTTGAGACTATGGTGATTCCCCTTGGGATAACTTTAATGCTTTTCACTGGGCCTCTTGCTGATCGAGTCTTGAGCAGAACTCTTTTCACTGCACCTACACACTATCAGATAAAAGAAAAGTTTCGCAGTTACATCATTGGTCCAATAATTGAGGAATATTTGTATCGATTTTTGCTGACATCACTACTGATTAAATGTTACTCGGTTGAGTCCACAATTTTAATAACAGCGATTCTTTTCTCGCTCAGCCATACTCATCATCATTATATGGCACTGTTACGGAGTGGCTCATGTGACTGGAGTGAATTGGGCGTCCATTCACTATCAACCTTCCTCTTTGGATTGTATTCCGGCCTTCTTTTCGTTAGGACTAAATCAATTGTCTGTTTGTCATTGATTCATGCCTTTTGTAACTGGATGAGTGTAGTTAGATATAGTCGACTCTGGACTAAAATTTATAAGCTCTTTGCAACCCTAATTGGCCTGATTTCTGGATTTACTCTTTTATATATTTTCACAAAGGATTACACTCAATATCGCGCTTTGATTTATTATGGATAGTTCAATATCACACCAATCATGAATTTTCATATACTTGACGAAGCTTTTCGCAAAATTTCTTACATTTATCATCAATAGCTTCACATCGAACTCTGACTTTTTAAGAACTGTGATAATGATCTATGACATTAAAACAATCTGAAACTTAATAAATTTAAATTAGTTGAAAAAAACACAATACTGTTTGTAATTATTGAAATGATGAATTTACAATGAAGGACAATTTTCAAATAATTTTTGTCCTTTTAACCTCGGAAGGGCAAGTTTTACCAATTTTGGTTAACCTTTGATAAATATTTTCACTAAATCAATCATCAATTGATCAATAAATCACGAAATTGTAATTTTAGTAATTTTTTGAAAAATATTGCTTTGTGATGAAATTTGAAACGCGTTTTCAATGTTGGCGCTGTCAAGTTTGTTAGATGCTATTTTGATAAGGTATTTTTATCCTAACGGATCTAATGATCAACTTAAGTCATTGTTTTCATTTATCAATCATTAAGTTAACCACATTTTTTCCTTGTTTTGATTAATATCTTTATACAATCAACCAACATGTCAATCCAAATTATTTTACTGAACTTGAATCTCATAATTGGTTACCAAAACAATAGTTGGACTGAAAATACTCATTAGTATTTAAATCGTCAGATTAACGAAACTCGATGATGGCAATCTTTCAATAACATTTTTTGGTCAAAATGGTTTTATTTAATTCTCCCAATCAAATTGAGTGAGGTAAAGTAAAAAAACTTTAGTAATCCAGCTAAGTTTGATGGAAAAAATACATTTTCGATTAATTGAGCCTCATTTGTGCAAAATTTTACTCAACATCTATGGTTTTTTATTTTATTTCATCATTTTTAGCTTTATTCTTCAGTTATGGAGTCTCAGCAACCAATTCCAATAGTGATTACCTCCAATCATGGTCTAAATTTGAAAATTTTACTTCTTCTTTGGTCACTAACATAGCCACTGATTTGGATTATCATCTACAGAATGTCATAAATCATTCAAATATATCGCAAGAGTGCTCTAACTCATTGTTGAAATGGGTTAATGATCTGAAATCAACTGACCCAACGGCCGTTAAACGTTAGTAAAGTTTTGTGTATTTTTATCACATTTTTTAACACAGTTTTGTGTGTTTCTTTTGTCTTCAGAATTCGACTCATGGGGACGAATACCGAGTGGTTTAATGTCTGGTGGATGGATTGATCATGGTGGTTTTCATGAATGTTTATCTCTGGATAATAGTCAATATTGTCTTTTAATGGCTCATCTTCCACTGATGAATGAACATCAAATTGAAGGTTTTGACCGACCTTACAATCCAGCTTATTTCAACTTTTCAACTCCACTATTCCAATCAGTTGTTAATTATGTTCATTTTTTTCGATACATGAACATAACATCAGCATTGTGTTTACCTAAAGGCTGTTCACCTACAGAGCTGACAACATTAGCTAATGAAACAGCTAACAATTATTTAAACACTGGATTAATAGTGAATGTTGATTTATGCCAAAACCGATATGAACATGTACCAGTTACGTGGGGTCAAATTATTTCATTGGCTATCATTGCTTCAGTTATAATCATCACTCTTATCGGAACTTATTGGTCGACTCCAGGAACCTTCATGTATCATTTCAATTTCAAAAATAACTGGAGAAAATTGTTTGCCCCTGTGACATTAAATAGAGACGTAGTTAGAAAGCAGTATCGCTTAGGATCTACTTTAACCTATCTCAATGGAATCAAAGCAATAACCATGTTTATTTTGATATTTATTCATCTGGCCTTCACAATTTTACCAACCAATTTCAAGACATCATTTACCATGTATGACTTGACAAGAGATCCGTCCATCAACGCCTTTTTTATCGGTGGCTACATGACCGACACCTTTTTCTTAATAACTGGCTATGAATCAACTTGGACACTATTGAGTCGAACTCACAATCAACATAGTAGATCTTCATTATCATCATCATTCAATCTATTTCCATACTTGATTCTTCGTTGGTTACGATTTGTCCCTTCAATTATCTGGATCATAGTCTGTAGTATTATGGTATTTTCTCGCCATTCCCAAAAATTAATAGGAGGTCCACTTTGGGGTCACAAGAGAGCTGCTGGTTCAATATCGAAATCTTGCGAGGATAACTGGTTCTTCCATGTTCTCTTCGTTGCCCACTTTTTTGACACTGCCGATGATTTTGGTTATTGTCTTCTTTCAGATTGGTACCTTGAATCGGATTATCTTTACCATTTAGCATTTATTCCAGTGATATATGCATTTTTGCGGGGTAAACCCAAATTTTCGATTTACTATGCCCTCTTTATGATCATCTTTGGTTCAATAACCACTTGTTTAATCATCGAGCTACACGGAACTCACCATACCTGGTTAACAACTACTTTCCCTAATCGAGCTTTCTTTAAATATCTAACTGCGATTCACGGTAAACCTTGGTCTCATCTTAGCTCTTATTTCATGGGTGTTTTAGCAGCATTTTTTGTTACCAAAATTAAACCACAATTTAAACAGGTTTGCAATTAATTACAAAATCATAACGTAGTGATAATTTGTTATATTGTTTCTTTTATATTGACAAACTACTTTTTTCATTTTTCTTTCCTTCCCCTTAGGTAACTAGTAAAATTATCTGGTTTTCCTGGTTTGTTTTGTGGTTAATTTTGTTCAGTTATGATTTTGCTATCAATAAACGATCTGAACCCATTGGATTTGGCATCTCATTGCTGTTTGCTGGAACAAGTAAAATAATATGGAGTTTGATCATCACTTGGTTCATTTATTGTTTACACCATCGCTTGATTTCACCCAAAATCGAGTCCTTTTTTTGCTCTTATCCTTTAACTGTCCTCTCCAGAATAAGTTTATCTGTTTTATTGGTTAATCTGATGCTGATGATGATTCGTAATGCCACTTATCAAACAACTACTTACATGGTTATGGGTGAAAAAATATTTAGCCTAGCTATCCCTATGTACGTTACTGTTTATACAGTTGCTCTATTTTTCTCTCTTTTAATTGAATCTCCGACAAGAAATATAATCAAGTCAATCATTGTATTAAATAAACATTCGTCAGAATCTAAAAATTCAAATCAAAGTGAGATGGATTCTCTTAAATAATCTTTATGCTTAATAAATAAATAAATTGCAAATTGTCTAAACTGTATTCCATTAATTGATTTCATCTGTTTAGAGAAAGTTTCCTACCGGTAATGAGTATTAGATCATTCAATAAGTCTGCATGTGAATTTAGTTGTCAACTAACTTAGATCACTGAAATAAATTGGGCTGATTTGATATAAATCAATTCTAAGTAACATAATTTTAAGCAACAAAGCGACACATTGTAAGAGTTAATAAAAGACACGAATTGACACAAATGGGTAAAAATCGGGTAAAAATAAATTTCTTTCGTATTTAGATTCTGTTAGTTTTGTAGAGACATAAAAACTAGGTCCATTTATGAGATTACAGAGTTTCTCTGACGAGCAGTTTTCAAGAAAATAGAGGCCAAAGTAGAAACTTCGATCGCCTTTTGTGCAGCTATGGAAGCAAGCTTTTCATGAAACTCATTTTTCTGATGTAAATTTCAATGGCCAACCAGAAAATGGCTTTAAATCGGAGAATAAAATTTTCTGTCTTCTGTAAAACAGATAAGATCGACTTTCAGTTAAAGCGACCGTATTCTGTACCCGTAAGAGTTAGCTGTCTTAAACTTATCATCGGTCCATAAAAAGTGCTGGTACACATAATGGAGTGAACAACTTTTTAATTCTTTGAACAGTTCTCTTGCTTTGGATCATTGGTCATAAAACTTTGAACCTCAATATTTCGAGAATGGTATCACCTAAAATGATCATTCTTTGACCAACATTAGATAGCATCATGGACTATAATATACAGAAAAATCAAATTACTAAAGATTCTACAGACAAATTCGTAGCATTGTTTTACTTATGTTGACAGATTTGCGTTGCTTTATAAAGTTAAATGGTTTCTCAAACGAGAATCTTGTGTGTGAGGAGAATATTCATTATTAAATGAGTTGGTTCATTTTAATTCAATTTTCAGTCACAAAACGCTATAGCTCATAATAAAATCTAATGTTTGGTCAAAGAATGATCATTGTTGGTGATGCCATTCTCGAAATATTGAGGTTCAAAGTTTTTAGATTAATGGCCTAAATCAAGAGAACTATCGATAAATTGAACAAAGTATTCAATTGCTATTGTCAACCAACAAATTTTATAGCCAAATAATAGGTTTCAGTCATCTAACTTTAACGGGCACAGAATTGTGTCGCTTTAACTGAAAATCGAAGTTATCGGTTTTGCAAAAAAGAGGAAGCTCAATTTCTCGAAATAAGTACATTTTATGGTTGATCATCAAAAGTTGCATGAGAGAAATAAGTTTGATGAAAAAATCTGCTTCCAGAATCGCACAAAAGGCAATTGAAGTTTCAACTTTAAACTCGATTTTCTTGAGCGCTAATGATCGGAGAAGCTTTTAAATCGCACAAATAGGCTCAATTTTTATGTCTCTACAAACCAACTGAGTCTAAATACGAAAGAAGTTTATTTTTACCCGTTTTTGTCCATTTTCTCTCAGTATTTGTCTCAATTTGTGTATAAATGTTCAATATTGTGTTAGTAATGTCTTTTTATCAACAACAGAATCACTTATGTTAAAATTATTAACACAATTGACACTAATTGGCAAAAATCGAGTAAAAATAAATCTCTCTCGAATCCAAACGCTGTTAGTTTGTAGAGAAATAAAAAGTGAATCCATTTGTGTGTTTTAAAAGTTTCTCTGATGAACAGTTCTCGAGAAAATCGAGTTCAAAGTTGAAACTTTGATTGCTCTTTGTGCGATTCCGGGAGCAGATTTGTCTATCAAACTTATTTTTCTGATGTAAATTTAGATAGTTAACCAGAAAATGTACTTCATTATAAGAAATAAAATTTTGCGTATCTGTAAAACAGTTCACTTCGATTTTCAGTTAAAGCGACATAATTCTGTGCCCGTTAAAGTTAGATGACTGAAACCTATTATTTGGCTATAAAATTTGTTGGCTGACAATAGCAATTGAATACTTTGTTCAATTTATCGATAGTTCTCTTGATTTAGGCCATTAATCTAAAAACTTTGAACCTCAATATTTCGTGCATGGCATCGCCTACAATGATCATTCTTTGATAAATTGAACAAAGTATTCAATTGCTAATGTGTCCCAACAAATTTAGAAACCAGATAATAAGTCTCAGTTATCTGACTTTAACGGGCACAGAATTAAGTCGCTTTAACTGAAAATCGAATTGACCTGTTTTGCAGAAAAGAGAAAATTTTATTTCTCGAAATAAGTACATTTTATGGTTGATCATCATAAGTTTTCCCAGCAAAATAAGTTTGATGGACAAATCTGATTCCAGAATCGCACAAAAAGCGATCGAAGTTTCAACTTTAAACTCGATTTTCTTTAGAACTGTTCATCAGAGAAACTTTTAAAACACAGAAATGCATTCAGTTTTTATTTCTCTACCAACTAACAGAGTTTAAATTCGAAAGAAATCAATTATTATTCGATTTTTGCCCATTAGTGTCAATCGTGTTAATAATTTTAACATAAGTAATTCTGTTGTTGCTTAAAAGACACTATTAACACAATTATGCACATTTATGCCCAAATCGACACAAATACTCAGAGAAAAATGGGCAAAAACGGGTGAAAATAAACTTCTTTCGTATTTAGACTCAGTTGGTTTGTAGAGACATAAAAGGTGAGCCTATTTGTGCGATTCAAAAGCTTCTCTGATGAACAGTTCTAAAGAAAATCGAGTTTAAAGTTGAAACTTCGATCGCTTTTTGTGACATTCTGGAAGAAGATTTGTCCATCAAACTTATTTTGCTTGTGAAACTTTTGATGATCAACCATAAATGTACTTATTTCGAGAAATAAAGTTTTCTCTTTTCTGCAAAACAAGTCACTTCGATTTTCAGTTAAAGCGACATAATTCTGTGCCCGATAAATTTAAATGACTGAAACTTATTATCTGGCTTCTAAATTTGTTGGGTCACATTAGCAATTGAATATTTTGTTCATTTTATCGATAGTTCTCTTGATCTTGACCATTAACCCAAAAACTTTGAACCTAAATATTTCGAGAATGGCATCACCTAGAACCATCATTCTTTGACTAAACACTAGATCTCATTATTAGTAATAACATGATACGATTGAATTTCGATTTAATACATTTAGTAATGAGTATCATTCTGAAAAATAAGAATCGTTTTCTAAAAATTATTAAACTTTGTCACTTTAACTTTAACAAATGTATCATCTAGTGCATTCAGCAAGAATTTCTGACTGAATAGTAATATCAAATCGGGTTTTTCATCGGGTAATTTGCATCAATCACTTTTTGCTACATCAATCGCATTGTTAATTAGCTGAACATACACGCGTTAAACGTTAGTAAACAGTTCTATCATGTTTGTGCCTGAATCTACACTGGAAAGGTCCAATGGTTGAATAAAATTACTGTAATGAGTGAAAGTTTTGTTTTCAATCATATTTATTAACACAGTTTTGCATGTTTTCATTTAACGAAACAAATTGACCAGTCATCATCGGGAGTCCACCTGTATAATGTAATTCCTATGGATGCTTACAAGAGCAATAAAATTACGATTAAGAAAGGAAAAACAAATTAATTCATAAACAAGAAACATGGTTACAAGTTTTCAGTTGAAACCTGAAATCCTTCAGTCGATCTATTGCAATCTTAAATTTTTAAATTCAAAGAGGCCCTTTTTATAAATTTATCGATCACCTGATCCCTTTATAGTCACGGTAAATCTAAACCAATTATCAATAAAACCCGATCTTAGCTTTACATTGCAATTAAAAGTTACAATGACAATTATATGCATCTAAATAAACTGGCTAACTTTTCAAATAATGGTTGATTTAATGAAAGGATATTCGCTGTTGGCGCCGGCAACATTTTTAGAGGCTATTTTGATAAGAACTTTGCTCTCAGACCGATTTGGTGCCTGTTTTAATCGATCAATCAATAGACTAACCATATTTTTCCTGTACTGATTGATATTCAGATTAACGAAACTTAATGATAGCGATCTTTCAAGGATATTTTATTTTTGTCAAAAGGGTTTCATTTGGTTCTCCCAATCTAATTGAGTGAGTGATCAAACTAAATGATCATTAGTGCTCCAGCGGATTTTGATGGTAAAATTACATTTCGATTAACTGAGCCTCATTTGTGTAAACTTTTACTCAACATCTATGGTTTTTTATTTTATTTTATCACTTTTTTCTTTATTCTTCAGTTATGGAGTCTCAGCAACCAATCCCAATAGTGATTACCTCCAATCATGGTCTAAATTTGAAAATTTTACTTCTTCTTTGGTCACTAACATAGCCACTGATTTGGATTATCATCTAAAGAATGTCTTAAATCATTCAAATGTATCTCAAGAGTGCTCTAACTCATTGTTGAAATGGGTTAATAATCTGAAATCAACTGACCCAACAGCCGTTAAACGTTAGTAAACAGTTTATTTTTGTGTCTCAATCTAAAGTTTGTAGTATTTCTATTGCATTTTTTAACACAATTTTTGTGTGTTTCTTTTGTCTCCAGAATTCGACTCATGGGGACGAATACCGAGTGGTTTAATGTCTGGTGGATGGATTGATCATGGTGGTTTTCATGAATGTTTATCTCTGGATAATAGTCAATATTGTCTTTTGATGGCTCATCTTCCACTGATGAATGAACATCAAATTGAAGGTTTTGACCGACCTTACAATCCAGCTTATTTCAACTTTTCCACTCGACTATTCCAATCGGTTGCTAATTATGTTCATTTTTTTCGCTACATGAACATAACATCAGCATTGTGTTTACCTAAAGGCTGTTCACCTACAGAGCTCACAACATTAGCTAATGAAACAGCTAACAATTATTTAAACACTGGATTAATTGTGAATGTTGATTTATGCCAAAACCGATATGAACATGTACCAGTTACTTGGGGTCAAATTATATCATTGGCTATCATTGTTTCAGTTATAATTATCACTCTAATCGGAACTAACTGGTCGACTCCAGGAACCTTCATGTATCATTTCAATTTCACAAACAACTGTAGAAAATTGTTTGCCCCTGTGATATCAAGTAATAATAATAATAATGAAATTAAAAAGACGTATTGTTTAGGAACAACTTTAACCTATCTAAATGGACTCAAAGCAATAACAATGTTTTTCATGATTTTTGTGCATTTGGCTATTACCATACTTCATACCAACCTAAAAACATCATTTACAATGTACGACTTGACTAGAGGTCCATCCATCCACATATTTTTCATCGGTGACTACATGACCGATACCTTTCTGTTGATTACTGGATTCGAATCAACTTGGACACTATTGAGTAGAACATACAATCAACAGAGTAGATCATCAGCCGCATCTGCATTCAGACTATTTCCATACTTGATTCTTCGTTGGTTTCGATTTGTCCCTTCAATTATCTGGACCATAGTCGTTAGTATTTTGGTATTTTCTCGCCATTCTCAAAATTTAATAGGAGGTCCACTCTGGGGCCATCAAAGAGCTGCTGGTTCAATATCGAAATCTTGTGAAGATAATTGGTTCTACCATGTTCTCTTCATTGCCCACTTTTTCGACTCTGCCGATGATTTTGGTTACTGTCTTCTTCCAGATTGGTACCTAGAGTCAGATTATCTTTACCATTTAGCACTCATTCCAGTGATATATGCATGTTTACGTGGTAAACCCAGACTCTCCGTTTACTATGCGCTCTTCATGATCATCTTCGGTTCAATAACTACTTGTTTAATCATCGAGCTACACGGAACTCACCATACCTGGTTGACAACTACTTTCCCTAACCGAGCCTTTTTCAAATATGCAGCTGCTATTCATGGCAAACCTTGGTCTCATCTCAGTTCATACTTCATGGGTGTTTTAGCAGCATTTTTTGTAAACAAAATTAAACCACAATTTAAACAGGTTTGTCATTAATGATACAATGTAAACATAATGATTATTTTGTTTAACTGACAGATATTTTCTTGTATTTCCCATTAGGTAACTAGTACAATTATCTGGATTTCCTGGTTCATTCTGTGGTGTATTTTGTTCAGTTATGATCTTGCTATCAATAAGCGATCTGAACCCATTGGATTTGGTATCTCATTGATGTTTGCAGGGACAGCTAAAATAATATGGAGTTTGATTCTCATTTGGTTTATCTGTTGTTTACATCATGGTTTAATATCGCCTAAAATTGATTCCTTTCTTAGTTCTTATCCTTTAACTGTTCTCTCCAGAATAAGTTTATCTGTTTTATTGGTAAATCTGATGATAATGACCATCCGTAATGCCACTTATCAAACAACTACTCACATTAATTGGGGTGAACAGACATTTAGCGTGGGAATCCCTATATATGTAACGATTTATGCGGTTGCGTTTCTTTTCTCGATTTTAATTGAAGCTCCGACGAGAAATATAATCAAGTCAATGATTGATTTGGATAAAAACTCGTCGGAATCTAAAAGTTCAAATCACAGTGAAATGAATTCACCGAAATGACGACTGTTAATTAATATGAATTTTGTCTAACTTATACAATATGTATTACAATAATATAATAACAATAAATTTGTTTTGGCTTACATCGATTTTAATTATTTGTAGAGAGATTTTTACCAAATCAAATTTACTTTTTTGAATCAAAGAAAAGATTAGTAGTCAAACTTTAAGTCAAATATCGACTTATTGAGCGTTCTAATAAATTGTTGATCAAGATTTAGATTTGTGACAAAATTTTCAAATATTTCGTCGCAGTCATTGATGGTTGATTAATGAGCCAAATACCTTACTCAGCCACACGTGAATCAATTGATTGCTACTGTAAAGACGCGATCAACACAATTAACACAACTATTCACATTGATGCACAAATGGGCGAAAATCGGGTAAAAATCAATGTTTTTCAAATTTAGACTCTGTTAATTTGTTAAGGCATTAAAGATGAGTTCGTTTGTTGCTATTTAGAACTTTCTCTGGACAATAGTTTTCGAGTAAATCGAGCTCAAAGTTGAAACTTCGAACGCCTTTTGTTCAGCTATTTAAGTAGATTTCTTCATGAAACTCATTGGCATTGATCTAACTTTTGATGGTCAATCTGAAAATGCTTTTTATTATCTGGAATAAAATTTAGTGTTCCTGTAAAACAGATCACTTCGATTGCCAGTTAAAGCGACTTCATTTTGTGACCGTAAATTTTAGAGAGCTCAAACTTATTATCTGTCGATAAAAATTGATGGTACTCATCATGGCGCAAATAGTTTTTTAAATTTATCGATAGTTCTCTTGATTTTGGCCATTGACGTTAAAACTTTAAGCACCAATATTTCGAGAACGGTAGCGCCCACAAGTATCATTCTGCGACCAAACATTCAATTTTGTTATGAGAAGTAACATGATATGACTGAAAACAGAAGAAATCTGAGCTAATTCATTCGATATTGAATATTCTTCTAACGCAGCATAGGTGACCCTTTCCCTATGACTAGCTGATATCAAATCTGACAACCTAAATAATACAATGTTATAACTTTTGATGTAGTTTCTTAAATGATCTGAAATTTCAATATATTATATCTCATAATGAAAACTAATGTTTGGTCAAAGAATGATGATTATGGACGCTATGGTTCTCGAAATATTGAGGCTTGAAGTTTTAAGGCCAATGGCCAAAATCAAGAGAACTATCAATAAATTGAAAAAATTATTAGCTTCATATTGTTTACCATCAATTTTTATGGACTAATCATAAGTTTGAGCTTACTAAAACTTACGTTCACAGAATGAAGTCGCTTTAACTGGAAATCAAAGTGATCTGTTTTACAGAAACATTAAATTTTATTCCAGATAATAAAAGGCATTTTCAGATTGACCATCAAAAGTTACATCAATGCCAATGAGTTTCATGAAGAAATCTACTTCAATAGCCGCACAAAAGGCGTTCGAAGTTTCAACTTTGAGCTCGATTTTATCGAAAACTATTGACCAGAGAAACTTTTAAATTACACATATGGACTCAGAATCTATGTCTCTACAAACCAACAGAGTCTGAAGTTGAATTTTATTCATTTTTACCCGTTTTTGCCCATTTTTCTCTCACTATTTGTGTCCGTTTGTGAATAAATGTGCATTATTGTGTTCATTGTGTCTTTTTAGCACGAACCAAATGCATTGTTAAAAATATTTATATCCAAAACATTGTCCATGCAAATAACATTAGAATCATTTCAAACCTTCGTTTCAAGGTACATCTAAACTCATTCCTCATCAATTCAATTCCAAGGCCTTAGCATATGCTTAAAAATTTGCTGTTCATTGAATAACAAGAAGCGGGTTAAAGACACAATGGTAACAAATTAAATGGGCAAAAATCGGGTAAAAATAAATTGCTTGCAAATTTAGACTCTGTTAGTTTGTAGAGACATCAAAACTACGTCTATTTGTGCGTTTAAAGATTTCTTTGATCGGTAGTTATTCATAAAATCGAGCTCAAAGTTGAAACTTCGATCGATCTTTGTACAACTATGGAAGTAGATTCATGAAAATCATTGCATCGATGTAACTTTTGCTGGTTTTATGATTAGAAAATGCCTTTTATTATATGAAATAAATTTTAGTGTTCCTTTAAAACAGATCATTTCGATTCTCAGTTAAAGTGGCCGCAATCGGTGACCGTAAGAGTTAGACGTCTTAAACTTATAATCTGTCGATAAAAATTGCTCATACACATCATGCTTTTAATACTTTTTTCAATTTTGTAACAGTTCTCCCGATTTTTACCATTGGCCTTAAAACTACTAGGCTCAGTATCTCGAAAATCATAGCATCTACAATCATCATTTTTCGACCAAACATTCGACGACAAAACATCAAAGCATTGTGTGATTAAATGTCAAATATAATTGATTTATTAATATTAATGAGTACAAGAAGACTATTGTTAGAGTCGATCAGGATTGTTCACAATTGGCAGATTGTTTCCTTTCTTTGATGACTATAACTTTTGAAAATAATGCTCACAAGCTTTTTGAATAGTTTAGTTCAATTTCGCTCATCTTTGGTGGCATTGATGAACTATCGGAGGTTTGAAGGGGACTTGGAGTCGACGAACAGTTCGACTTTCAGCAACTCCAGGGAAAACATTTGATGAAGCATGAGATGTTTCACTTGGCCGTAACTTGATTAGATAAAGTTGAAGCTGAAATTTCATCAATCGGGTTAGAAGTTGTAATCATAAGCTTTGATGTGGTGGTAATTTCAGGCTGATCGTCTGGTTTTGCTTGTCTATACTCTAATTCATTTGGCGGTAACGGTGTCAAACTTCGTTCTGAGGTTATTAGAGGTTCCATTGTTGTAGATGATGTTACAACTAAAGTGTTATTTTCAATGTATATCTCGCTTTCACTGGTACTCGATGATGGCGAAGATACAGCATTGGTGGTTTCATTTTTCTTTAAATCAGGGTTTGGATAATTTGACGTATCTTCTTCAAGATTTACACCCAAATTGCCTGATGTAGCTCGGTTATTGTTTTCAAGAGAGTTATTCAATTTTGAGAGTGAAATTGAATCATTCAAATCTTTCTTTAAACTCTCAACTATTGATGAATTAGGAACGAGCGCATTTTCATTATTTGGATATATTTCCATTGAAGGCAATTCCAAAACTTTTCGATCATCTGATTTTCGCCTTACATTCACATTCAAAGTTACTTTGTGATCTAAAGCATTAACCTTCTCTACCGATGGTTCCATCACAATTTTAAAATCTTCTAAAGTCAACAACGAATTTTCAGGCGAATCGGGTCCATCCTTCTCATAAGATTTATCATTATTTGTATTGTTACCAATATTATCTGAAATGATTTTAAATGAATCAACAGTTAATATTCAAGGCTTAATATGCTGAAATTAGTCAAACATACCGTTAGTTGGAGGATCTAAGACTAGACGCTTACGGTCTATCGAAGGTCTATCATGAATCATTGGTGGGGCCATATAAATACACGTACCCGAAGTACATTCAAGTGTGTTATTTAAATTAATTTCAGGTCTGCTGCCATTGTCAATCGGTTGACTGATGTTTCCTTGTTCCGAGGTTCCAATTGTCACAGCCTAATGGTTGAACAAAATTCAAGTAGCAATGAAATGCCATGACAAAATTATAGTCATCTTTGATGAGACTGATTGTTAACTATGATAATATCATTACTTACATTTGTTGGTTTACAATCAAATGATTGGCTGAATATGGAAACCAATATTGTTATTAGAATGAATCTTGTAACTGAATTTAAATGAAAACATTTTAATGGAGTCATATTTTGCTGCCAAGCATAAACAATTGAAGTTAATAAGGTTGCTTTAATCACAAAAGTATCATTCTGATTAAATTCATAGATAGACGTTGTCGCTACGCAGTTAACCTTTAATTTTAATCAAGTGGTTTGAAATAAATTGCTGTTCCAAACAGTTTATAGATTATTTGCCGATTTATGCTTCTTGAGTGATTATTATCTGCAAGACAACCATTTTTATTCAGTAATTATCGTCTTCATATTTTGGACTTAAATTAACTTTCATTGTGAACATTCCCAAGGAATTTAAAAGTTCCTGTATTGTAGATGTTCAGGATTAAGCTTTCGAGCGCTGAATATCCTCTATGTAGTGGTCTAGCAAATCTAAATATAGATGAACTTTTCTAGAATTTTATTTCAAAATATTTCTTTTCAGACTTTGAATAAATTTTGTATAACAAGCGATAAGTATTAAGAGTAACCAACGTCATTCGGTTGTTTTTGGCTGCTTTCAACCAGTCATGTTGATTTTTGTTCATGAAATTTATTAAATTTATTAATATTTTCATTGATTAAGCCTTCGTTTCTCCTCCTTTTTCCTTGGCTTCGTTTATTTTACTCAGCATTCTTCCGTGAATCTTACTCAACCAGCTTTTTTTATCAGTCTTGGTCTTTGATCAAACTGGTTTTCCATGTTTCCAGTTATTTTTGCTCAGAAAAACGACAAAATGGTTGAAAATCCGCTGATTTTTGACTAAAACCATTAATTATTTACCATTTTAATTGTCTTTTATTATCATCATTTGTACCATCGCTAAAATTCATTAAAAATCATGTTTAATCTAATTATCCTATTACTAACTATTCATTGTACATTCAGTGCTCGGCTCAGTGAACCAACATCTAGTTCCAGCGGCTCATCGGGTGCAATTGTTTTCCCAAGTGCTCAGAGACCTCAAAGTGTAAGTCAATCACATCTTTTTAATAATCAATTCAGCTTACAGTCTTTTCAAGTCATTTGATGTTGAATATTATTTTACTTAATAAATAGTTGAAAGTTCAGAGTTAAAATCATTCAAACCTCAAAAATTTCAAGGTATAATTAATAAATTTGTTTCTGTTTTTATTCATTCAATAGCAACAAAACTCATTTGATATTGCTCTTTTAAGGACTGCTGGGTTAAGGAATGTGAGTGATATCTTTGCTGCTCTCGGTATTCATGAAGAAAATGAAGATCCTCTTGCAGGACGAAAGAAAACAAATTATGCTGAACAAGCTGTTTGTGAACCTGAATTACGAACTGTTGAAGTTGGCGATCAAAGAACTGAATCTGGTGAAATATTTTTCCCCAGATGTGTTCGAGTCTTGAGATGTGGCGGTTGCTGTGATATCAGTGATCGAATGGCTTGTACACCAACCAAAATATCACACCGAGATGTTAAACGGGCAAAAATACGGCTACGACGATCAACAACACCTTCCGCCTCCTCACAGACTATTCAAGTTGAAGTGCATGATGAATGTCGTTGCATGTGTAAGTCAATTTTGATCAATTTTCGCATTCACTAGCTTTCTCATTTACCTTCATTTCAATTTTAGGTAAAGTAAAAGAAGAGCATTGCAATCCCAGTTTACATGTTTACCAAGCAGATCTTTGTAAATGTGCTTGTAATAATGAACAAGATGCCGTCGCTTGTCGTAATATGGCTCCGGCCAAATCATGGGATAATAACGAATGCAAATGTAAATGTAGAGACGTTAAACATTGTCCATCAGGAACTGAGTTCAGTCATGATACTTGCAAGTAAGTTCAGATGTAATATTCAGTTCAATTCAACACACTTCTAATTGCTAATTTATTTTCAGTTGTGAGGCCTCTTAAAGAAGTAAAAATGGTCAAGTCATTCATGATGGTCCACTATGCTACTCATCAAACAATTACTTATGGGTGAAACAATCTTCAGCCAAGCAAATCCCTAAGTACGAATCTGTTTAAACAATTGCTGTCTTTTAATCTTCAGCACGAAATCAATGATTGTCTTAAATAGGAAACTCGTCAGAATCTAAAGTTAAAATCAAAGCGTTCACTTAAATAATCGCCTATCAATAAATAAATTAAAACCTTGTCTCGTCTGTACTAAACTTGAACGGCTAAATATCTCCTGATTGGACAATTTTTCTCATTTGGTAATTAATGAAAGTGACACGAAAGAAGAATTCAGTATTACCCATGGAAAATAATTTTAATATAAATTCTAAAATTTTAAATTAACGATCAGTGTTTTTTGGCCGCCTTAGCTTCTTGTTTAGCTGCTAGGATAGCGTCATATTTGCTTTTACTACTGAACCACAAATAGAAAGGTATCACTAAAGTTGGCATGGACATAACGGCAAATGCAATCCAATCAAGCTGTAAACAAAAAGTAAAATAATATTTTAGATTGAAATGAAGATTGAATTGAGGTAGACAGTCTAAAAATCAAAAAAAACTTACAATGTGAGGTGAAAATCTTCTGTCAAATTCTTTGAGTGAGACAATATACCCTTCACCGGGTTCACTGGTAAAACCAACTTGGACATCTTTTAAATCTTCTTGAGGTGAGTAACTGACTTCAGCAGAGGTGAAGTTGAATTGACCCCAAACACCAGGCTTTGGACGATAAACAACTGTATGTGAAACATTCTGGTTTGGTGCAATCCTAGGAATGGTAAATGAGCTGATACCACTGATCACTTGGAAATATTCCTCAGGAAGATTTACATCTTTGATTGTAACATCAACAGCAGCACTGTGAAGACAAAAAACATTATTTTAACATGACTCAAACTGTTCATTCCTAATTTTGCGGATAGACCCATGTTTTTCTCAACATGGTGATAAGAAAACATAGAAGAAATAGAGTTTTATGATCAATGCACAATAGGCAATGCACAAACCACCAAATACATACCTTTCACCAACATTGTAGATATTGTAGCTCACAATTAAATCTTTATTTTCAACTAAGTATTTATTGAGAACCTTTTTCTCAACCAAAAGCCGGGCTGGTGATACAGCTTCTCCTTCAGCTTGACACAAGGCAGCCAAAAGCAGAAATACAAAGGCAGTGATGAATCTCATTTTGAAATTTTCTATGAATTAGAAGAAAAAAAACTAACAAAGGTTACAATCAAAAATAAGAAACAAAATACAGTTTAAAATAGAGATAAGTTGATTGATGAACACTTCCTAATTCCACCGTGGAGTTTCCACGTACACTTTTTCTCAACACTCAATCTTTGAACAGATAACGCCACCTAACCGATACACATAACAGTATAAAAACCTTACTCATTGTACTTGATTAAGAATGAGATCATTATTATTGATATTAATAAAACACTTATCTCGAAATGTTTAAAACAAATTTAATGCAATATAAATAATAAACAACAATATACTCACGATTAATTAACTTTGATCGAGAAATTTAAATGCTGGTAAAATTAGGTTGCAAGAAAAGCTCCAAGATTTCGACCGCTTCAAACTTTCTTCTTGATATTTAATTCAGCTAAGCTTCACCTATTTAAATGGATAATTTAATTGAATAGTTAAAGATCAAGACAGAACTTTAAAAAGAAAAGATTTACAAATCAAAAATGCAAAATAATCACAAGTTCAATTGAAATCTTCAATTACTGAAAGATAAACATTAAAATGTGATTTAAATATCTTTTCATCTTCACTGGAAATAGCTTATTCTCACTATTCATCGAGCAGCGTCATTCCATGAGTTGCAATCTTTCTTAATAGATCTTAAGGTGAAATTATCATTGTTAATTGATTTCATGAGGATGATAATTGTTATTCAAAGAAGAGAAATTTAATAATGTAAACTTATAATCGTAAAGGTTAAAATCAAATTCGATTCAAAATTAATGTTCTTCCATAGAGATCAATGGAAAAGTGAAGTGCGGTTTCTCAATAAGTGACACAAACCGTGAATGTTTAACCAACTCAACGTGATTGCCATCAGATTTTGAACATTATGATCAACCGTTTGCTTACATAGCTTTACTATTCATTGAACAATCATTGGAATTTAGTTCAAGAGTTTTCAGTGAATAATTTTGACTGAATACTTGTTCAGGATTCAGATCCACTATCTAAATCCAGTGACGGTAAATTTATGCGGCTATGAGTCACAGCCTATGACCATCTCAATTTTATCAACTTATGAGTTTTAAAAAACTCAAAATCAACCTAATTGTTTACCTTTTTTCTTTTTAAATAGTTTGGTTATAATTTTTGTTTCAGTTATGGTTAATTTTTCTAACCCATTAGTTTTACCATTCTGAGGAACAAGTGATACCTGTATTTGCATTTAAATATCTTTCAGTCTCCATTTTTGCCTTGTTACTCATTATATCTTCATTCTGTGATTCAGTGTTATTTTTATTCACCCGTCGATTTATAAATATAGATATTTTTTTGGTTTCAAGTGAATCATGTCTGCCTCGGGTTTATACTTTTTAGACCTTAAGGGCAAAGTTCTGATATCTCGTAATTATCGTGGAGAAATCGAGATGAATCGGATTGAAAAATTTATGTCGCTAATTATGGAGAAGGAGGAGGAAGGTTGCCTCTCACCTATTATAAAGTACAATGACGTTACCTTCATGTGGATTAAATATAATAATTTATATATCGTTGCATCAACTAAAAAAAATGCTAACATTGCTTTAGTATTTGCATTTTTACACAAAATTGTCTCCGTCTTAGTTGACTACCTAAAAGAATTGGAAGAAGAAAGTATTCGGGATAATTTTGTTCTCATTTATGAATTGTTAGATGAATTCATGGATTTTGGATACCCTCAGACCACCGATGCAAAAATTTTACAGCAATATATAACACAAGAGAGCCATAAAATGGAAGTCGCACCTAGGCCACCCATGGCAGTTACAAATGCAGTCTCTTGGAGATCCGAAGGAATTAAATACCGTAAAAATGAAGTTTTCCTGGACGTTATTGAATCAGTTAATTTGTTGGCCAACGCCAGTGGAAATGTGTTGAGATCAGAGATTGTTGGCTCTATAAAAATGAGAGTTTATCTAACTGGTATGCCCGAATTAAGACTAGGCTTGAACGATAAAGTTTTATTTGAAAGCACTGGTAGAGGTAATTGACCAACTTATTTGTCCTCTTGATGTTAACTTTGCACACATTTGTAGCTCTGTTGCATCGTTTCTTCAAGTATCTTTGCAGCTCATCTTCATTTTATTTACTTGTTATCATGATCTAATCTAATGTTTGCTCTATTTTTTCTCACCAGGTAAAAGTAAATCGGTTGAATTGGAAGATGTCAAATTCCATCAATGTGTTCGCTTATCACGATTTGAAAACGACAGAACCATTTCATTTATCCCACCTGATGGTGAATTTGAATTGATGTCATATCGCTTGAATACCCATGTTAAACCATTAATTTGGATCGAATCAGTCATAGAACGTCATCCCCATTCCAGAGTAGCTTATATGATAAAAGCAAGAAGTCAATTCAAAAGGAGATCAACTGCAAATAATGTTGAAATAGTAATTCCTGTGCCTCATGATGCTGATTCACCTAAGTTTAAGACATCCATAGGTTCTGTTAAATATGCGCCTGAACAAGATGCTATTATTTGGAGTATAAAGTCTTTCCCCGGTGGTAAAGAGTTTCTAATGAGGGCTCATTTTGGTTTGCCTTCAGTCATTAGTGAAGAAACAGAGGGTAAACCACCGATTCAAGTTAAATTTGAAATACCCTATTTCACAACTTCTGGTATTCAAGTCAGATATCTCAAGATAATTGAGAAAAGTGGTTATCAAGCTTTACCATGGGTTCGTTATATCACTCAGAATGGTGACTATCAATTGCGGACAAACTAGTTAAAATTGTACTTTTGACCGATTGCAATTTATTTACATTTATTCACAAAAGGGACTGAGCAGATTTTCAATTTATTATCAGAAACTTATACAAAAAATACATAAATATAAAAACATTTATTATAAACCAAATAATGTCATCAATCATCATATTATTGTAATTCACTCTTTATTTCAAAAGAATAGTGCACTTATAATTTTTCGATTTCGTATATTCAAATATTAAGTCATAAGTTATTTTTTCTGCAAGTATTATTGATATAAATATTCAAGAATATATTAAGAAAAAATAGTTAGAAATGGACCAAATACAAATTTAGATAAAATATCTATTGTGATGCTTAAATAGAATCGTGTTCATTTTATCTCAAAAGAATCGCACATTTAGATGCAGAGACAATCAAAAATAGAGAATTGATTCCTCCCCACTGATTCAAATCTCGCCTCAATCGGAGTGTTAATCTTTGTTATTAGACCTTATTATGACAATTAAAGTGTTCAAACGTTTCCCAAATACATTTTAAGTTTATTAAGATTTGGATCGATAAAATTAGGCTTGATAAAAATAGAATGGCTCATCGTCTGGCTTAAGATTTCAATCTTCTGTTGCCTCAGATGATTCCGATAGCGTTATGAGCATTACCATTGGTTCACAAGGTGGGTAATTCAAGGTCTCATTATCGGAAGGTGAAAATCTGTTTGAGCGAACCGGTACCGTAACAATTTCCTCGTCACTTTTAATTTCTTCATCCATTCATTGGTGTTTCTTGAACGCAAACCAGATACACTTTGTTAAACAAAGAGACAATACGCATTTGATGGAAAAACTGAAAACAAATGATTACAATTAAATGAGAAAATTCTCAATCTATTAATGATAGACAAGGAAGCTTGTTATGATCTTATGATCTTACGATCTTACTATTACTAAAGTCCGCTCAGTTATGAATGCTTACAGTTTACTTGTTAGTAGATCATCAAATTCAATGGCTCGTATAATCAAATGTAAAGTTGTGAAAGTTTCATGTTAAAATGGTTAAACATTCATTCAATATTTTAATGTGTGATCTTTAATTAATTATGCTTCATCAAAAATCTCCCTTTTTACTTATTGATAATCACTATTACATGCACACCTGGCTATTATTGAAATACTGATAATGTTGGGAATGAGGACTCTTAAGCTTGAAAAATAATAGTCAAGTCCAAGAATCAATGAACCAATGATAAACAGAGAAAATTGGGGTCGAATGTTTTTTTCGCTCTATTGAATCTGATCGGTTTTAGTGCCTTACTGAATAATATAACTCGAATGATCTGTAGCCAGGTTGATTTGCCTTGATTAACTATTGCGAATGAAATTAGAGTTGAGTCTCAAGTTCTGGTAAATGAATAACAGATTGCACCATTGAAAGCAGACAGATGATGTAAAGATTGGGTTAAAACTGGATGGACTTCCAAAAATTTGAAACTTGGCTTTGGTTAGAGGTTAGAACTGCATTCAGTGTAACTGTAGATTATTTCCATTCATCATGATTGATTCATCAGGCTGAGAATTAACGGTGATGATTATATTTGAAAAGAAGTCTTTGGGTTAATTGGAGCGTTGCATATTTGTTGAACAGATAGCAAACTGACAATAGTAACATCAAATTGATGATCTTTTCTTAATCTAATTGTGGTTCTTCAACCCAACAGTAGCAGCAAAAACACAATAATAATAATTATAATAACAGTAACAACAACGTCAACAACAAGAACATGATCAACAATTGAGTGTCTTGAATGGGTGTGAGATAATAAGGTGGCTCATTATGTTCATTGTAACAGTCGATTCAAGTTAACGTGTGTTACAACTTCATTTTTTTCAACTCCTTTTTCTCCTTTCTTTTCTTCTTGTTAACAAACGTTTCTATCAAAATTTAGTTGTAATTAACAGTAAAAGGTTCAAAAATTGATTAATGGATTAACTCATTTTAATAATTTCAAGTTTAGTGGTTAAATTAATGTGTTGTCAATTTTTAAATTCAAAAATTTGTTATCAACTCATCGCCTGATTCATCAGAGTTCATCATTTGTTTTGCCTTTACTTTCTTGGCAAAGCTTTTCTTTCTCTACCTTTTTTTGCCGCTCGTCAGCCATTATGGTTTTACTTCGCTTGTGTTTATGTGTCTTCACATTGGTGTTTTTAATCACAATTTGTGAAAGTAAAAAGGCTTATTCTCGTGATGAAAAGCTCGGTAAAACAGGACTGAACCCTATGATAAAGCAGAAATACTGTAATTTGGAGAACTATCTTCTCGATGAACAGAATCACCAAATTTTTGAATGCATCTTTAAACCAACTCATGTGGTAAGTCTTTGCATTGATTTCAATTTATTTTTCTTCTACTCATAGCAGTTAATTTCCGTTCATTGATGTCTGAAATTAAGCTTACAGCTGATTAAATTTGAAAATGTTTGCTCTGAATTTGTTTGAAGTGAATGTTTCGTATAATCAGTAAATGTGAAGATTAATTTATATATTTCAACCGAACGATATTCAATAGTCTGATTTATTCTCTTGGATGTTTATTATTAAACTGTTTTTTCCATGTCAACAGAAACCAAATGAGATTCGGGATTGTGTTGAAAAGTCATTTCCATCTGATGATTTCGAGACATCTTACCATAAAATGAGGAAAGCTGTTTGTACCAAAGATATCACTTTGAAAGAGGTATATTTTATTAAATTTTATGTGATAAACAACGCTTTTAATGATCTTAAATTTTCTCTCCGACAGTTCGTTATGTGCATCAGGGAAGGTAAAGGCCTCAACCATGGACATATTGTGGATAAATGTTTACTAATCAAATCATCTAAAAAACGAGAAAACTGTTATGATAAAATGCAAAGAGATACAATGGTTAGTTAACAAGTTTACAATACACTCGAGAGCCCAATCAAAGCAATTTTTCGCAACGAGTGTATAATGAATTTTCAAATTGTGCTAATTTCTGTCTGATTTTTGTCTGAAATTAACTCAAGCAATTCACATCTTTTGTAATCATACATCAACCTTCCTTTTATTCATCCTCTAAACATCTAACATTCAAAAGAGATGTAATTTCACTTTACTTTATTACATTTTTAATATTTTTTTGTATTTTGTCTTTTTTTCTAGAAATGTTTTGTCAATATTCTTGGAATCAAATGATCAAATTGACCTTACTCGAAATTACTATTGGTATTGCTTCCTAAACTCCATTCCATTCTGTTATCTTAATAACACCTTTCGTACGACCTTTCATACGATTAACCTGGAAATTATCTATAATTCAACTGAGAATGGATTTTTACCTCTTTTATCTGATTATATTGTCAACAAAACTCATATTTTTTGTAATTTTTTAATTGAGCGTTTATTTTGTTATGTTTTTATGAAAAAATACAAACTCGTTGATTGATTTAACCCTGACGCCAAAATCAATGATTAGAGGTTGAGATGTCATAAATGCGTTTCATACTCGTAGCGAGAACGGAAATGCGTAATTGTCATTTAATTTATTGATTTATACCATTATTTACCCCAAAAAAGATAATTTGTATTTAATTTCATTGTTAAATAAGGACCGAATTTCTTAGAATTGAGGACATTTAACCGTGAAAATCAGAGTATTATCTAAAAATATCAATCATGTTGCTCTTCAAAAGCAAAATAAAATGAATGGAAGATATTAATCTTGATTTATTCATTAGCAGAGGCCTATTTGTTAACAATTAATACAAATGTGCAATATTTATATTACAAGCATCGATTTTTATTAAATTTTGGCAACAGTTATGGTACAGAATTTCAATTTCAATTCGGTTCAAATTGTCTTGAGAAAATTATCTACAATCGAAATAATTATTCAGATAATTAATATGTTAAATTAAATATCTAATCTCAGAATCTTTCTTCCAAAGAAAATTCAGACAAATCTTGACTGGTTAATCTTTTTTATATTACGTAATTACATAACGATCCCTTTTTGCGGTGAGAATCTTGGCAAATCAAACTTGAAATTTAACTTTTCATTAAAAATTGCTGTTCTGATCATCTCATGAGTTGGTTAATTTGAATTATTGCAATATTGCTCTTTTATTTTGTTTCTCTTATTGTCATTAATAACCTTCCACTTAATTTGAAGTGTCAATTATGGATCTACTTGTAGAAAATTTACCAAATATCCGAGTTCCAGCTATTGGTGATAAAATTTTCAAAGATGAATGTGTCTACAGCTATGATACTCCGGTAATTCATTTTATTATTTATCAAAAAATGTGAATCATTGTTGCTTTTGGTATTGTTTGCTTTCTTAAATATTGAGTTGTCATAAATGGTTGCCAATCAATAGTTGGTTTTATCGATAGAAGAAATAAAACTCTCTGCAAAACAACTGTTTTACTATGTTCTCTGTTAAAAATATTTGATTTTTCATCTTTCATTTTTCATTCAGGAATCCGAGGATGGGTTATTTGTTTGTATGCGAACATTTCTTGGTTTTAGCGCCAAATATGTCAACTTAAACTACGAGAAAACCAGGTCTAGAGTATACCTTAAACTTAAGAGGATTAAAATTCATGTAAGCATTGGTGAAAAATGTATCTTGCTAACCAAGTTACAGCCTTTTTCTCGTCTTTTTTAATTCTAAGCCTATCTTTTCTTTCCTTCTTTATTTTTTAGGAACCTAGCGAAACCGGTGATGGAGAGCAGCCAAAGAAGATTACTAAACTTGCTATCGGTCTCGAAGGAGGTTACAATCCCGGTGGTGCTGGTAAAGTTTCTTATCATGAGCAAAACGAAATAGTTATTCTTCCTGAATATGAAAGAATCCCATTGCCCAATGAAAATCTACCAGAAAAGGTGACTATCCTATCATTCTGCCCCCTCTGTTTGCAATAAGTGTATATTAATGTTTTCCTCTCTTTAAAGGTTTTGGCCTGTGTGTCCAGTATACTTGCTTCTGATTCTGCTTTTTTGTCTGAAGAAATAAATTCACTGAGTGGAACATGGGATGGTGAGAAAAGGCAGATTACCAAACATGCCTATAACCTTCCTCAACTTGAAAATGGTGTTAAAGTTAAACCAGAAGGCTGGAAGTGTGAAAAATGCGACCTTAAAGATAACCTCTGGTTAAATTTAACTGATGGTGCTATTTTATGTGGAAGAGGATTCTTCGACGGATCTGGTGGAAACAATCACGCTGTACAGCATTATGAACAATTTAAATATCCGCTTGCAGTTAAACTGGGTACCATCACTTTTACCGAAGAGAAAGTATCAGCTGATGTATACTCATATGATGAGGATAGCATGGTCGAAGATCCACTTTTACATAATCATTTAGCACATTTTGGTATTGATGTTAAAGCTTTGCGAAAAACGGAAAAGACAATGCTAGAGCTAGAGTTGGATTATAATCAACGTATTGGTGAATGGGCAATCATTCAAGAATCTGATGCTAAATTGACTCCAATCACTGGACCTGGGTTTACGGGCATGGTTAACTTGGGTAACTCTTGTTATCTCAATTCGGTTATGCAAGTTATTTTTACCATTCCTGATTTTCAACACAAATATCATGATAGAAATATCTTCTGTGAATCACCTTGTGACCCTACAAATGATTTTACCACTCAAATGGCTAAATTATCTCATGGTTTACTTTCTGGTGAATATAGTATTCCTTTACAACCTGGAAATGATAATTGTATTGAACAAGTTGGAATCAAGCCTACCATGTTTAAAAATTTGATAGGACGAGGACATTGTGAATTTTCAACAAAGCGTCAGCAAGATGCTCATGAATATTTTCTTCATCTGGTTAACCTGATAGAAAGACATCAAACCGGCAATGGATCTTCATTGAATCCTTTAGATAGCCTAAAATTTGAGATCGAAGAACGTATAGAATGTAATCAATCTCACAAGGTATCTTACACAACCAGATCAGAATACATCTTGTCATTGCAAATACCATTGCACAAAGCACTAAATAAGGAAGAAGTAGCTGCATACGAGGAGAAGAAAAAGAATGCTGATAAGGATGAAAAGATAGATCTTGTCCGATACATTGTTCCTCTAGAAGCATGTTATGATTCATTAATTGAACCTGAAATTATTGAAGATTTTTACAGTACAGCAGTTAACTCTAAAACAACAGCCTCCAAAATAACCAAATTGCGAACTTTTCCAGATTATTTAATGTTACATATTAAAAAATTTGAATTAGACACTAATTGGGTTCCCAAAAAACTTGACGTTTCTCTTCAAATTCCCGATGAAATCGACATCTCTCATTTACGAGGAAGAGGATTGCAAGAAGGTGAAGAGCTTCTTGAAGATACAGTAGCCGGTGCAGCAGCCGGTGGTAGTGACCAACATCTACATCCTCAACAATTACCCCAACAAGCTCCTGTAGCAGAACAAATCATCGTACTAGATTCTAATCATATTGACAGTTTAAGGGAATGTGGATTCAGTTTGGATGCTGCTAAAAGAGCTTTAGTTCGAACTCACAACACTGGTGTTGAGGCTGCTCTTAACTGGCTCTTAGAAAATAGCAATAATCCTGAAGTCAATCAACCTTTCTATGAGGATGTTGATATTAGAAATACTGCACCAAAACCTGCAATCGATCAATTCGTTCCTGATTCCAGTGCCTTGGATTCGTTAATTAATATGGGAATCACTCGAGAAAGAGCTACTCGTGCACTCAAAGAAACTGTAAGTATTCTATTACTGAAACTAAATTTTTTAAGCTTCAATATTATCATCAAAATAAATTATTAATCCATTTTTTTACTTTTCTTTCTTTCTCAGAATAACTCAGTAGAAATGGCTATTGATTGGATTTTTAGTCATGATGAATCAGATGAAGGATTAATGCAAGTTGATGCTGTTACTGTTCCTAATGTCACTTCATACCAACAATCTTCAAAACCTCCAGGTTCTCCTCGCCCATTGCGAGATGGAAATGAAAAATATAAGCTGATAGCTATTATAAGTCATATGGGAACTTCGCCTATGTGTGGTCATTATGTTTCGCATATCCTTAAGGACGGTCATTGGGTGATTTTCAATGACAATAAAGTTGCTATCTCTCAAAATTTACCTAAAGATCTTGGTTATCTATATCTATATGAAAGAATCTGATCAAAAAAAATTGTGATAATCAAATCAATTAGCCCAGTGTGTAAAGTTATCTCGGTAACTAACATCAGCATCTTTTTTTGTCACATAATACATCCATAAAAACGAGTACATTATCATCCGATATTTGAAACTGTTCTTGTTTTTTCTATTCAAATTGTCAACCAATCCATTGTTTACTTAATTAATCAATATTTTCTAGTTGATTCATTTGACAAAAAAAACAAGAAAAATGATTAAAATTGATGACATCTTTGATTCAATTCTTTGCCTCTGTTATTTCATTAATATTTCCTATCATTGGACGTTCATTATTCTCCAATTTATTCCACTAATTTGAATGTTTCAACAATTTAGCAAGAGCTTTAATCAATCAATTATTTTTTTTATATCGATATCATTTATTAATTTTTAACTTTCTATACTCAGAGCCATCTATTAGCGAAAATTTTTTTGTTGACGGCGCTAACATTTTTTCATGCAGCATAATTGAATCAATGTAACAACTGCACCTTCAACTTTACTAACACCTTATCCAAAGTTGTGACAGCGTTTTTTCACGATTGTTATCTAATTAATCTAATGAAAAATTGTGCTTCTTTATTCATTGACCTGAATGGTTAGTTGGTTAAATTATTTGTTTACCCCGTAATGTCCCCGGTAGCCATTATAAGGATAATCAGTTAATTTACATTTTCTGCTTGTCCTTTTTTAAAATAAGTTTTTCCTTTTTGTTTACCAATTTTTTCTTACCAGTAACTACTCTTTTCGGGTTGTACTCTGGTCATTAACTGTGAAATGTTTTAATTGTTGTTGCTTTTTCTATTCTTCAGTAGGCTTTCCGACGACCAGAAACAGTCATGTAAAACCATGTGTACCATTTAGGATTACCGGATAACTTAAATAATTGCAATTTGTTCAACGTGATTTTTTGTGTAAAATTTCGTTGGCATGATCAGGCTTGTCAATCGAGGATAATTAAAAGGTGATCATAATTTATCAGTCCAATCAACATCTCCAGCTCTTTCAATTTGATTGGTATTATCAACTAGATAATATCCAACAATTACGCAGCGCTTTGTGTTGGTCAATAATAAAATCCAATAAACTCTTTGTGAACCTAATCGAGGTGAGTAATTGATGTGTTTATCTTTCAACTCCTTCCATTCATCAATTCAATTCAAATGTTGTCTTCTTATTTCACAGTCATGATTACTATTTAATGTAATGATGATACTTTTTGAATAATATCCCATTGCTAAATAAAATACAAAGCAACACAAGAAAGCATAACATCCAGAAAATTCAAATTGAAATAAGAGCGAATTAACCTTTTCACATTGCAATTTCACTGATGTTCAACATTTTTATTGACAATCAATGATTTAAAGACTATTTCATGCCACCAATTTTACTCATTTAATCAATTTACGATTTTCTCTAGATAATTTGTATTCATCGACACATAAGGATTGATTGTTCACAATGGCAACACTCAAAAAATTAAGTGAAGAAGCCTTAACTCGTCCACCTGAAGAAGTTTTTGACATTATTTGTAAATTAGGCGAAGGCTCTTATGGATCTGTATTTAAAGCATTACACAAGGAATCGGGACAAATCTTAGCAATCAAACAAGTACCAGTTGAAAGTGATTTTGGAGAGATAATCAAAGAAATATCAATCATGCAGCAGTGTGATTCGCCATATGTAGTTAAATATTATGGAAGCTATTTCAAAAGTAAAACTCTAGGAAGCGATTTATGGATTGTAATGGAATATTGTGGAGGTGGAAGTGTCAGTGATATCATGAGATTAAGAAAGAAAACACTCTCCGAAGAGGAAATCGCAACCATATTAAAAGACATTCTACTCGGGTTGGAGTATCTTCATGCTCGACGAAAGATTCACCGAGACATTAAAGCAGGAAATATTTTATTAAACAGTGAAGGCCATGCTAAATTGGCTGATTTTGGTGTCGCTGGTCAACTTACAGATACTATGGCCAAAAGAAATACTGTTATAGGGACACCTTTTTGGATGGCTCCAGAGGTTATACAAGAAATTGGTTATGACTGTTTGGCTGATATTTGGAGTTTAGGTATAACAGCATTGGAAATGGCTGAAGGCAAACCACCTTATGGAGATATTCATCCTATGAGAGCAATTTTTATGATACCCACCAAACCGCCGCCTTCATTCAGAGATCCTGACCGCTGGTCAACTGAGTTTATAGATTTTGTATCTCACTGTCTCGTCAAAAATCCTGAACACCGAGTTTCAGCTAGCAGTTTACTCAAACACGATTTCATTAAAAGAGCTTTACCGGTCAGCTCATTGATTAGTATAATCCAAGAAGCGAAAATAATCCAACAAAAACATTATAAACAAGACTTGACCGTTAAGGATAATATCAATTCATTAACGATGGTTTCTGATTTGAACAATCAGACTCTTAAGTTGTCTTTTTCAGATGCTCTCTGTCACAGTAGTAAATCAGAAACTATCAAAACGAACACAACAGTCTCAGATATAGAATCGGATCTTGGAACACTTATAATTAATGACGAGTCTGGAGATGATGAAAACGGTAAAACAATGAAACCAGCATTCATGCAACATTTCGAAAGGACCCGAGAATTAGACAAAGAATATAACAGCCCTGTAAATACAACAAGCAGCGAGGAACGAAATTTAAATAAAGAATTGGCAGAAACTTCAACTTCTATTACTCCAATTCATAATTTACAATTACAACACAATCCAGCACAAGCTCAAACAATGCTATTAACAGACCAGATTCATCAATCTGCTTCTCAACAAAATTTACACTCAACTCATTCAAAACTATTACAATCTCAGGAAGCACAACACCAACACTATCAACCACAGCAGCCTCAGCAACCTCCTCAATATCAACCCATGTCGCGGGCAGCTATGCTAGAAAGTGATTTTGAATTTCTCCGATATTTGCCTACTGAAGAGCTGCTCAAAAGAATGGCTAATCTTGACTATGAAATGGAAAATGAGATTGACGAATTAAGACGACGATATGCGGCCAAAAGACAACCGATCATTGATGATATCAATGCTAAAAGAAAGCAGCAGCAAAATTTTTAGATTCAACTAAATCTAATAACTTGCCATTCTATAATATGAACAATCTAAATATCCGCTTACAATTAGATGGGTTATCATTTCATTAGTAACACATATTACATTGCTTATTCAACATATTGATAAATGAGTGATAAATCAAGATGAACTCTCAATAGATGAAAAATCAATCAAATATTTTAAATTTGAATGTTGATATTCAAACAAACTTCACCCAACCTACAATTGACCAATTTGTTCCTGACTCCATCGCCTTGGATTAATTCATATAAAAAGTACTAGAGTTACTTGTGTACTCAAAGAAACTGTAAGTATTTTCCTATCAAAATTTCAATATTCCATGTATCGTTAAAATAACTTCTGTTTTTAAATTTTCTTTCTCACTAGGAATAACTATTGACTTGATTTTAATCATGATGAATCAGATACAGTTGATGCTCTTAATATTCCAAATGTCACGCCGTACCAATCTTTGCATCTTCAGATTCTCGTCGATTGCGAGATGGAAATGAAAAATATAAGCTGATACTAATTTATATGGGAACTTTCAACACCAGAAGTTAACATGTAAAAAGACTATTTGATTGCATATTATTTTCTTATAATCCATGAATTTGAAAAGCAACATGTAAAGTGATAAAAATCTGAAAATGCCAATTTATTGCCAATATTTATAATCAATTGACTTTGTTATCCAACTATAGTGAAACCTCGCAAAGGTTGTGAGCGGTCTTGCTGCCTAGCGATATTGTTTATCCAACACAAATGTAAAAGCGAGGAGAATCTTGAATATCCAAAGACGCCGTTACTAAATTTTATACAACCTTTCGAAGTGTTACTGTAATTTAATTTGAATCATAAACAGGAAAACCCATCAACAGTATTAATCAGTGTTCTGTGTTTAATCAATTAATTTAGCAAGTTTCATAATGAATTGAAACTGTGATAAAGGTGTGACAGGAAAGGTTTTGATTCAAGTAAAAATTGTGAAAATGTGATCGATTATCGCGGTTTATTATAATTGTTATTAGCAATAGATTTATCAAATATTTATTCAACATTAGAAACACCATTAATAATGATTTTAATAGGAAAGTTGAAAATATTTAGTTCAAGAAAATTATCTCCTTTTAATCAACATTGATGTTGTTTTCAAGTCTTCGATGGTAAATGAGATTGAAGAGATCGTTAAATCGTTTCAAACAATATTTCTTGATTCAGTTAACTAACTTAAAATTGTATCTTTTCACTCTCTAACAGTTAATTTATAATAATCACTGCACGAATCATGATTGACATATTGAATGTACAAACTGTCCCGATGTTAACCTGATTTTTCAATACTTATAAAAGCCTTGTCATCTCGAAAGGTTACTCAATGAAGTCAATACTTGGAATAAATAAAAAGCTTGAGAATTTTCATGATTTTAAGAGTTTCATGAGGTTTAGTCTGGTAATTTTACTCGCACTATTCGGAAAAAGTAGGATAATTATCAGCATTTACAAAATGAAAAAACAGATAAAAGGAGCCAAGGTAAACATGTTACTAGATGAATCAGATAATCTGGACAGACTATGGATTCAAGTAAATATACAATGATTAACGATTGAAACTTAAATCCACAGTTGCTTACTGAAACTCCCCGAGTTTAATTCAAGGTTACCCTGTAGTTAATTATCTTAAACACTTCTAGGTTCACTACCACCATCATGATTAAACAGCCCACAATTGAATGGGATACACTATTTTTTTTGGGTGTTACCCAAGGATGTTAACCAGTTTAATTTAATTTCTGAGTACATACAAATTCTGGTTTTCTGGTTAACTTGATAAGTCAATTATTTAAATCCATTAAGTTGCCAAACAATCCAATCGACTTTTAGTATTTCTTGATTGTTTACAAACACAAGGAAAGGTTAAGTTTAATTTGGCTTGCTATTTAAATTATGTAATTGAGTTTGTCTGTCAAAGACGGTTCAGTTACTCGAGCAAGCCGCACAAATCAATCAAATTCACTGTTGAACATTTAAACAAGTAAATCAACATGTAAATGATCAACAGTCGAATGATATAATTTTATAAATTTTATCATTTGTTTCAACGTTAATTGTTACTGTCCAACCAGGTAAAACGCCAGCAAAACCACTTTAATTTGACTTTTGTTGAAGTATCAAGTCTTTTATTGTCAACATTTACATTAAACTGTATATTTGTCAACGAATTGGGTATCCACCATTTGTTTGATGGTAAGGGACTTCAATAAATGAATGTTTTCGCATTAAAAGCTGGTAATTGTTGTTACTTGTTGATTCTTCCGGCTTTTCAAACACCAATAGTTTAAGGATAAGTGTTGATGAATTTCTAAAGAAGAGAAAGAGTTGGTTAAAAATTGAATCCGTAAGAGATGTTTGAAAGGTTGAAGAAGCAAGCAAATCCAAACAAAGTAACATGATATTGAATAATTTTGCTGGACCAGAAAAATGAATACAACGTTATTTATGTACTATTAGGATGAATGTTTAAGAAATAGCAGGTAACCGCACCCGAATTAATCAATTCATTCTTCAAATGAGTAACCATGAGAATGATATAATTCTGTTGATTAATATAATGGAAGAAAGGAAAGAAAAAGAAAAATAACCTCTCTCCTTGGAAGGAGAAGAAGAGATATTTTTCTTATTCTAACCTTTTGTAATTTTATCAGTCTTCAATAACAATTGGCTGAATTTATTAAACAAACCTGAGATCAGTAACTGCAAGACCATGATTGTGTTGGTTAACTGTTTCAAGATTATCATTGTCACCAGGTTTGATTCAGAAATCAATGAAAACAAAGATCAGGATGAGATTAAATGCATTACAGAAGAGCATCTAAAGGACAAGGATGGTAAATTATTAGATCGAGAACGGGTTAACTTTTCTCTGCATGACGGTTGATGATGATTTAAATGGTGATATTGATGTAGTGGATGATGATGGTTGCCAGTTGTAGTCTGTCATAGTCTTCATCACGATTATCATATGTTTTTGTCTGAATGTTACAAAAAAAGGAAAAAGAATGAAAATTATTTTACAAATAAAAATAAAAATTTGTGCATCCTCAATGAACCGATTAACTGTTGTTGATCGTTACTGTTTGTTTGAACATTGAAATTGATCCTTCTTGTTGCTTGTAGCATCTTTCAATGTCAAACAAACATTTCTAATTATGCAACTAAACTTACCAGAAGAGATTGATTGCAACAATTGATGAATATTCAGAGCATAGCGATTACCCATTTTTAATAATACGTGCAAATAGTTGATAAAGATGATCATTATTAAAAGCACCTTTTATAGTCTTTATATTTGTCTTTTTCATTTTGTTCAACAATCACGTTGCTTTCTGGTAACTCTTGATTCTTCTAATTGTTACAATTAACAATTAAATTTCCTTGGTTATTAACACCAGTTGAGTAGGCTTCTCTTTCAAGTAGAACTCCAAGTAGAACTCCAAGTAGAGCTTCAAGTTTAGACACAAATAACAGTAACGCTGATGTTTTTACTGTTGTCACCATCGTCACTTTGACCAGAATTTGATTGTTTACATTCCTTGAATAACCAGATTGCAGACGTAAGGTCGGAAGAACAGAAACAGATTAAGAGAATGGAATGGAAAAAAAGTGAAATTGAATCAAAATAAAGTAAAATCTGTTTAGGTGAATAGTTAATTGAGTGATTAATGAAAAAAAATGGCTTACCTTTTTGATTAAAAAGCATAAAAAACTCAACTCGTGGGATAAAAACAAAAGCATTAACTCGAAACACAAGAAAAATGGTAAACTCTAAAAAATTGGGAAAAAAGTGGGAAAAAGATATAAATGATTGTTTCGTTTTTACTTTATACTAATCCAAAAACGTGAGGTTAAAGGTTACCTACCAGATATTGTTTACATACATCAAGAGGGTCAAAGAGCAGAGAGGAACCGTTCAAAAGCAGAGAGAAAACAGGTAAACAGAAAGGTTATACTTCAAAAAAGCATGACTTTCACCATTAGGTTTTGATTCCCGCTTTTTCCATAGCAAAGGCTATGGGTCTCATGTTAACATTGAACTCTTACCAATGGTTAGTTGCGAAAGAATAAAAAGAAAGAGAAAAGCAAGTAGACAGAGAAGTCATAACCTGATGAATAACCTGATGACGAACCGAACAGGTTTCTTTCTCACTTTTATCTTTCTTTGATTTTTCTTCTCTTTCTTCTCTTTCTTCGGTTTCTTTTTTTCTTTCTGTAAGACATTTTTTGGTGCTAAAATGAAAGAAAGAGAGTAGAGAGAGAATGAAGGAGAAAAGAATGTAATGAAAGAAAGAGAAGGGAAGGAAGAGAAAGAAAGAAGGAAGATAAGAAGAAGCTGTTTACCTGTTTTAACATGTTCGGTGCTTACTTCAAAGCATCAGCTCTACCTATCATCTTAACCAAAAGCAAAATACATCAAGAGTGTTTTTTTTATTTCTGTGGATCTTTTTAATATACCTACAAATTTGTGGTCACCTATTAATTAATTTAAATGGTTAGTTGATTCAATTATTTGTTCAAAACTTATTAATGTACCTAAATGGTTGCCATTATCAGGATAAATCATCTTAATGTTTTTTTTCTCAATCCAAGGATCAAAAATGAAGCGTCTTTTCTGGTTCTTGTATTTTCCTCTGTGTTGTAACCTCTGTTTGTGTCTGTTTTTATTTTTTCGGGTTTTCTGGTTTACCAATTGTTAACCCAATTTTATTGAAACTACCTTTACTTCAATTGCTTCAGTCTACCCAATTAACTTTCATCTTTAACCATCAACTTTAATGTTGCTAACTTATATTCATTTTATGTCTGAAATGTAGAGTTGATTAACAATTATGCTTATATTTACTGTTAATTTACATTTTCTGTCTGTCCTTTTTTTTAAAATAAGTTTTTCTTTTTTGTTTACCAATTTTTTCTTAACAGTAACAACTCTTTTCGGGTTATACTCTGGTCATTAACTGTGAAATGTTTTAATTTTTGTTACCTTTTCCTTTCTTTAATAGGTTTTCTGATGACCAGAAACAATCATGTAAAACCATGTGTACCATTTAGGATTACCGGATAACTTTACACAATTTTAACTGTCTCATATAATTGCGCTCAACCATTTTGGTCCAGTTATGAGACATAAATATGGATTTCAAATAGAAACATTTCTACACATTTAGTTGATTATTCAATGGACTGTGACCAGAATTTTGTTTCACCAGCTTAAATGATTGTTTTGTTAAATTTTACATCAACCTATTTTTAAAAAAGCGTCCTTTTCTCAATGGATTCAATGTGATTTGTGGTTTGATTATTTTTCCAAAGTGATTTGGATTACAATATGGGGACAATCAAAAGACAATCAACTCCAGTGTTACAATCTTTTATATCATCACCAACATCAACATCTTTGAGATCTTTTAAATCATCACACTTTGCATGTTCATTATTATCATCAATGTTATCAACTAGATCATATTTAACAATTTTACTGTGCCTTGTGTTGGTCAATAATCAAATTCAACCAATCCTTTGTGAACCCGATCGAGGTGAGTAATTGTTTGCGTGTGTTTATTCCTTATCCCCGTTCAACAATTCAACAAAAGGTTATCCTCTTATTTCACAGTCATGATTACTATTTAATGTAATGACGATACTGAATAATATCCATAGCTAAATCAAGTATAAAAGGCAATACATGAAACACACATTCAGAAAATTGAAAAAAAGAGCGAATCAACTTTTTCCATTTCCATTGCATTTGCATCAAACGTTAAAACATTTCTATTTACAATTATTTCTATTGACAATTAATGATGTAATGATGTTGATTTGCCATCTTTTTTACCTGTTATAATTATTTTACAGTCTACATTATTTTCAAGTTCATCATCTTATTCAATAATTGACCCCAACTTATCATGCTAATGATGATTGTGATGAAATTTCTTGGGGATTGTATACTTGGTTGCGTGAGATTCAAAGAACCTTTTGATTGTTCAAGTTGTTGGCGTGTTCAAACGGTCATCAGCTTAAGCTGGACTCTGATCAAAACTTTTTTTCCATCCACATCACCTGTAACCGCCATTTTTGCTCAGTCCAAATGCAGGATTAAACAGCCAATTCAGATTTCTTAATTTACAAGATTCTTCGTTATTTAAGATGATCATTTGTTGACAAGCAAACACTTGAATTTCACCTTTTTTGCTACAAAACCCAAAAAAATAACAAACGATAGTAATGTTTTTTCAATATCATTCATCCATTTTAAAAATTTAGCCAAAATTTTGATCATCATCATTAAACTTCATTTCAATCTTTTTTTCTTGTGAATTTTTCCCCGCAAAACTCACTTGAAATTTCATCATTATTGTTACATTTCAGACAATAAGTTTAGACAAAAGTGACTCCAGAACTGATTAAGTTTCACATTGACACAAGCAGCCAATTCCTACAAATCATTAGCAAATTTTTTAATAATTTTATTGCTGGATATTTCACTTTCCATGATCATTTCTGACTTCTGTCAATTCTGTGTGACTCTTTCCTCTTCAATGATTCAATTTTATTGGTATTAGCAGAGGAAAGATGATCATTAACACTGAATCGACTTTTCCGTTTTACTCATGTAAGATTATGGTGAAGCACCAGGTAATGATTCATCTCATTGTTCTGATTGACTGAAGAGGTGAAAGTTAATTTAGTTATGTTTTTTTGTGGCAACATAAAAATCGCTATTAAATTAACTTGGATCATTGGCTGTTGATAGTAAAATTATCCAATTTTTCCCACTTTTCTCTCATTTTTCACAGATGAATCTGCTTCATGATATTTCATGGTTTGTTTAATGATGTATTTTTTTAGTCAACCTTTGATTCCAATTGATCAAAATTTAAATGCATTACGATTCACTTGAAAGATTATCAAATTTTTTCACCTTTCACCAAGAATAAGAAAATTCATTTTCTCTTTATTGCTTCAACTGAACCTGGCCCAAGTGAATATCCAAAAAAAGGACCACAAAAATTCTGTAGGCAGCATATTTTTCCAGTTAGTTGTTACAGGAGCAGGTTTTTTTTGTTCCTGTACATCTTTTCATTGAAAAGAGGAAGACGACGATGATGATGAAAAGGTAAAATAATGTAAAGAAAAGAAGATGAAAAATAGACTAAAGGTTATCCTAAGGTTACCTGTGGGTTGGTCTTAACCTCTCCACTCCTTAAGTTTACTCTGGTTGTTGCATCTCAGCATTCCTATGATATCAGTTAGTTGTGCCAAATATTGGTCCAGACCTTGTTGGGTAAGGTCACTATTCATCTCTTGCTTTGGCTCTTTTCATCTTTCCTTCAAACCTTGTTTACCTCTAAGCTTTGCCTAGTTCAATTGTTACATAGCATCAACATGATGATAATTATGATCAAGTTAACCGCCAAAAATGAATGAATCAACAAATTACTGTGAACCTATTAATTCAACTTTCCTGACTTCATTATCATCTACATCGCCATCTAATACATATTACTTGTCATGTTACTTTGTAATTCAATTGTTTCACTTTTCAAAAACAAAATGTTTCATTAATCGACTTGCAAAAGTCAACCTTTCAATTTCAATTAACCAGAATTAAATTATTAGTTCAAACATTTGAAACCCAAAATATCTTGAAACATTTCCACCAAATTTGAGTTTATTTTTGATTACCGTTTCCATAATTTTACAGTTTCATTTAAGGCTCAATCTAAATGCAATTTAGCAAAATTAATCTTAATTTACATTTCATTAGAAACCAAATTTACTTTCATTTGCAAGGTTTGTTCATTTTGATTAATTCATTAAATCTTTGTTAAACCATTACAACTTGATTAACAAGGATTGCTTGATATTTTAGGTTAAACTGTCGCAATTAACTTGTCATTAATATCAACTGAAAAATATCTTTATTTTTTTGTAAATTTTTCTTTAATTTCTATCAAAAAAGGCTAAATCTGAAGGTAAAATCAATCATGAATTAGATGAATGAATTTTTTAAACTGAAATACATTTAAATCTAAATTTCAACCTGAATGATTATTGAAGCAGATTGAACGTTAAATTGACAATTAAACGTGTCAAATGTAAATATCATTATCAAAGTGTGTTTTTTCACTCCTTCCTGATATGAAACTATCAATAAATGAGAGTTGATTAAAAAATATCAATCAACTTGCACTTTTTTGTTCAACATTTGTTGACCAAATGGTACACAAAAGTATCCCAATGTACCAAAGTATCTTTAAAATCAATTTCAATCTGTAGGCCAATTTTTTGAACGGAAACTTTGCTCTTTCCAATGAATTAAATAACTTATCCAAGTGAAACCAGAAGAAGATGATGAAAAAAAAGAGTTAACTCGTAACATTGTTTGCCTGTTTTTGTTCAAATATTATTGATAAAACGTTCATTTTACTTTTGTAAACATTGTTCAGGTCACTTGGGTTTCGGGTTTAAAACTCAGGTCATGGTGATCATGAGTATGACAATTAACAATCAGCTGTGACAATGTTATCTTGTCATCGAACAACAAAACTTGATTTCCCATTGATTTTGAGCTTTTTTTTGTTTTTCATTTGTTTCTTTGAAAGGCTTTTAGGAAATATTTGTAAACATTTAACTTTCATTGAGTTCAGAATTGATTGTGAACTCAAATCTGATTCAATTGAAGACCAAAATTGATTGAATATTTGCGTTGAAACTTTTCATTTCAAATTTCTTTTTCCCTGAAAAATGTGAAATTGTTTCAGATTTGCAGATTGGTAAACTTTAACCGGACAATCAAATGGTTAACCATCGAAGGAAAAATGAGTTTTTCTTTGTCATCATCATGTTGAATCGTGTTTATTGATAAAATTGAAATGAATTGCTGAAAAAGTCTTCTTTTCTGTGAAAATTGAAAGGAATGTTGAGAGATACTTTCAATTGATTCAGACTGATGGATTCTGATTGAATTGGTGAGAAGACGTTTCTTTTGTCGTTCACAATTGAATTGTAAATTTAAATTGTTAAGTGTTGGTCAGATAATTTGATTTGTTTCCCATCTTAACAGGGTTACTCAGTTTTTGTGTCAATCATCAATCCAAGTCAATAATGAATTCAAGTTGCACGGAAGGATAAATGATATTATGATTACTCTTGGTGAAGATGAATAAAGATGATAAATATTAATTCATAAAAGTTTCAACCCATTTGAACAATGTCCAGTCTAAATGTAGACAGAAGTGAATAACAAAAAAAGAAGTCTGTCAACAGTGAAAAAACCGTTGAATACAAAATGAACTCTTTAATAGCACTATTTATATATTCATCAACAGTACTTTTAAAGTCAACAAAACCTCAACGGAAATAGCCTCACCTCAAGTTTCCCCATTTGTATTAATAGAGGTCAGTTTCTTTGTTTCATCCTCATCATCACTGGTTCACAAATTAACAGTTAATTGTTACCATCTTTACATCACGTTTAATATGTAAATATCAAGTGAAAACATCTTAAAAGTTGAATCAATATTGTGATTGAATATTGACTTTCTCTTGATTTTCATGTAAATCAAAAATTGCTTGTTTACTCATTAATGTTTCACTCTGATTGTCCACTTAATTGACCTGTTTAATCCCACTTTGATCCCCTTTAATCAAATTTTACTTTCAATTCACTTTCACCTTTTGTTGCAACTTTGATTATCTAATTAAATTTCAATGAAAATCATCTAAAATTGAATGTCAATCAATCAATGGCATCATAATTGCGGTCATCTTTTCCTCTCAATATTTAACTTTGAGATCAACACGGTTGATCAATTTGGTCACCAATATCATGATCACATTAATCATGATCACCCTTCCCAAGTGAACGTCAATCGTGTTAAAACTGAAAGAATCATTAAAATTAATTCGATGAAGAAAATCATTTTGTAAATTAGTTTATCAAACACGGTTAATCATAGTAAATGGTAAAAATCAAACCCACAATCATTTAACTACATTCATGTATATTCATGGATAATTAGCAATCAATTGACGAAAGTCTAACAAACGTGAAAACCAATTGAAGCTTTACCCTTATCGTTACAAATTTCAATTACAGTCTCATCACAATTATTCCGTACATCCTCATCAAATATTTGACTCACTTATCAATGTAATATTAGCAATCGTGGTAATAATGATAATCTAAGAAAAGCATTGTTCCTTGAATCCTGTCTTACTGTGTGACGATATCACATACTGAGAAAGTCAATCTTAGGTAAGAACCATTTTCAACCCAAAATGACCCATTTGATAAAAAGCCTTACTCTAGATGAATGCCTCTTCCTAACCTCTCTGTTTCCACCTCTCAACCTCCTCCATAAAACGGATATAATCCTCACTTTTCATTGTAACTTAATGGTAACCCATAAAGAACCCAAACCTCTCCCTCTTCCTATGGATGAGTCGCCCCTCTCATCATCCTCTTCATCGTCTCCACAAAATTTCCTCTCACCATTCAGCTTGTTGATGCATTTTTTACAGTTTCTTA